TCATCAACTTATGGATCTAAAACTTTAGACAATTGTGGAAAAGTGCGGACGGCGTATATGTGGAGGTGGGGAGGGCTATGTGGACATCACATTCATTGAGTTATACTCTGTATTGTTTATAGCAAAAACAAAGCTGCATAAACAATGTAGGCCTAAAAAAAATACGGCAGTACCCGTGTTATTTTAACCCAACTCAATGGGCAGTTATGTCGCGGCAAACCTATTTAGGCTCTATAATAAGGTAACCGACATTTAGGCTTAAATTAGGCCTAGACAGAAACAGGCCAGAGATGGCGTTCTTTAAAGGGTGACTGTGGAAATTCAACTTTCTTGTATGCCTTATAAATGGATGACACCTAAGAGGTTGGAGGTGTAGTTTTTTGACGCGTATGCCATGCTTACTAGTTTTATTTGGGCCTAGTTTAACCTCTGTATGTTATTAATAATTTCTTATATAGAGTGGTTTGAAATTCTCTTTTTTCTTTTCGCGTCTGCGTGTAAACAAGTGCTAACAGTCTTTATCGTCTGTTCTATAACGACATTATAATATTCTCATGGATATTTATATTTGTTCAATGTTAGTGTGTATTTCCAGCTTTCTCACGCCCAATATAAATTCGTGAATAACTGTTCACTAACTATCGTGACACGGATATACCGGCTAAGTTTGACTCCCATTAGCCAGGGAGGTCAATTCCAACAAACTGGCAAATAGTGGACTGAATCAGTCTCACGAAGGTGTTGGTTTGAAACACTACATGTTGGTCGCTTATTCATCCGTAGGCTCTATACAGGCTTTACTTCCCTCACCACCAGCCGCGGGACATCGTCCTCGGTGTTTCTTCCAGACTTTTTTCTCCGGTGGTGCACTTGGGGGGGGGGGGGGGCGGACAACAATTTCCGGGGGTGGGTTGGGGCGGATACTGTCAAAAGTATATATTTTCTATATAAATTCCATTTCGTTTGGGGGCGGTAGACTTTCTTCGCCCCCCCCCCCCCCCCTGAAAGAAACTCTGAACATAATTGACTGCTTTTTAAATTAGCAGTTTTGTAAATATCGGTGTCAAATGTTCCTATAAGTTATAACAATCCATGATTTTTTTAAAAATAGTATATATATATATATATATATATATATATATATATATATATATATATATATATATATATATATATATATATATATATATATATATATATATATATATATACATATATATATATACATATATATATATATACATATATATATATACATATATATATATATATATACATATATATATGTATATATATATACATATATATATATATATACATATATATATGTATATATATATATATATATATATATATATATATATATATATATATATATATATATATACATATATATATATATATATACACATATATATATATATATATATATATATATATATATATATATATGTATATATATATATATATATATATATATATATATATATATATATATATATATATATATATATATATATATATATATATATATATATATATATATATATATATATATATATATATATATATCAGGGGCCCCCAAAAATTTTAAGCCTGGGGCCCCGCCCAAGATTAATCCGCCCCTGAATATGCCCACTTCACTTTATAATACATTTTAAAGGCATCCATACAGTAAGTATGCCCATCTTCATTTTATATATTGTAGGGGCGTCTTGAAAGTAATTATGCTTATATTCATGTATTACACTCGAAGGACATGCAACAGTAATTACACCAATCATCGTTGTTAACATTGGGGGCATCTCTAAAGCTATTTTTTAATGTACTTCTCCATTATTATCCATTTTAAGGGCATCCAAAGGGTAATTATGCCCATATTATTATTATAAATTTTTGGGGCATCTTTGGTGAAATATATGGCCATTTGTGGTGTAATAACGCCCAAACTTTTTTTTTGTTAAATTGTATGGGCAGCCTTCAGTGTCGTAGCTAGGATTTTCGGGCCCCTATGCAAAAATTAACAATGTAAATAATGTTAGTCTCCCGCCCTTCCCCCCCCCCCCCCCACACACACACTGAATGCCACTGCATGTACACTAAGTAAGGACTTGGGGCCTTTTTTAAATTAAATTATTTCTACAGTAAAAAAAAAACTTGATTTCATTTATTTTTTTAAAATTATTTATATAAAATAAATCTCAAAATTCCAATGTAAAAGTTTTAACTTTTTAAAAGAAGGAAAATGGCCCCTATTTGCCTTGGGTCCCTATGCCTTGCTTACTCTAGCTTTACGGTAGCTACGCCACTGGCAGCCATTAGTATATATTTATTTTCATGCATTATATAAGCATACTTAAGAATAAGAATGCCCATATTGTTTTTGATACACTGTAGCGACAATCTCAAGAATACGAATCAACATATTGTTTTCGATACATTGTAATGATATCATTCAGAATAATTGCGCCCATATTGATTTTTACAAATAGGAGGAGCATGCTTTAAGTAGTGTTAAAGTTAAAATATTTTAACTCTGAGTAGAGCTTTCTTTAAAGTAATTGGGGGCACATACAGAGCCAGTTTTATTTCAGTTAATAGTAGAGCTATCTATAGAGTTATTGAGCCCATAATGATGTAATGAAATGTGGGGATGCGGTGTGGGTTTTTAGGCTATGGAAGCCGTTAGTAGATTATCCCCCACCTGAACTAGACAGGCGTACTTGGGTGTTAAATTTGTGAAAACGCGTCCAAGTCTAGGGAGAGTCTGACATAGCATAGTGGATTTTTATACACAGTCCGATGTAGAAGTGTTTTTTTTAGGGCTGGCAGCTTTAGCCAACCAAGGTACATTTCTGTTATATTCAAGGTTAAGATAGTTTGAGAGTATCTAGCATCACCCATCTCTTTAAAGAGTTGACGATTTGACCAAGTGGTTTAGAGAAAAAAATCTGAAACATCTCTAGTTCAATGCACACTCTCACCTGTATTAGTTACACTACAGGAATACCTAAACAGGCCAAGAGAGAAACATCCTATAAATAAAGGCGTATCTGGGGCCCTAATTGTAGAGACAGACAACGTTTTTTGTCCCTGCGGTCCCGGGTGGTAATACAAAACCGGATGAGACTCTTTTGTAGTGCATCACAGCTCCCCCCCCCTCCCCACCACGACACGTCCCGCAATTGTCTCCCCCCTTTCCAACCCCCCCCCCCCCCCTTCAATTTCCAACCATTCATTCCATTTGGATTTAGCTGGCTGTAGTCAACGTTTTCACTCAATTAAGATAGGTACAATTTTTTTAAATAAATGCTTTTCTATGTATATTAACGTCCAACACAACTTATTTGTTGCTTTTTTTGTAACTAAGCTTTATATATATATATATATATATATATATATATATATATATATATATATATATATATATATATATATATATATATATATATATATATATATATATATATATATATATATATATATACATATATATATATATATATATATATATATACAGTGGCGTAGCGAGGTCGGGTGTCACCCGGTGCGGCACTTAATGGTGTCACCCCCCCCCCCCCCCAGAGGCATAGAGACCCTTCCCAGGGACAAACTTTCAAATTTTCGATTTGCACCCCCCCCCCCCCTCAAACTTTCGATTTGCACCCCCCGCTCGAGTTTTCGATTTGCACCCCCCCCCCCCTCGAGTTTTTCTCGATATATTTTGCTATTTTTTGCCTTGGTGTCACCCCCCCTAAATGGTGTCACCCGGTGCGGTCAGCACCCCCGCCCCCCCCCCCTCGCTACGCCCCTGTATATATATATATATATATATATATATATATATATATATATATATATATATATATATATATATATATATATATATATATATATATATATATATATATATATATATAAGTATTTATGGGGGCATCTTCCGCTTGAGTTTGCCCCGGGCATCTACATAGGTCTGCACGCCACTGACCACGAGTTAGTGACGTCTCCGTGCCCTGAACTTCAGCAATCAAAGCAAGCTTCAAACTGGGTGATTGAGAGAGTCGCGCGCGTATCTGCAATGTCGCCTGTCTGACCTAGCATACAGTGAATTACTCGGACGGTAAATGTTGAATATTACCTGTGGTACATAAAGAATGTGTTGTTGGTTTTTTTTTATTACCTCCCTTACACATCCCTTTACACTTGCGACATGTACCTGTCTAGAGGGGGGAAAACTCGCAGCAATTAAGTGTAATATGAAAACCTTTTTCCAGCGAAAAATATCTACTAACTTGCTGCGAGATTATTTTTTTCTAGACATTAACAGTAGAAGTCGCAAGTGTAAACGAGGTATTACGCTGTAAAGTGGTAGGCTGAATAAGCGCTGTATTTTAACTATTTTTAACCAATTCGTTGTAACTAGTGATTAGAAATGTGTTTGTTTTTGGCGATGGTATTGTTGTATTACCTATACAATAGCCTACGGGTTACTGGATGTAAACCTTATATAATTTTTATTTTCCTTCGTTCTTTTATTGTAACATTTCGTCCAATACAATATCTATAACGTGTCTACATGCTTTTTATGCGCCATATGGCTCGTTGACTCCGAAGAACATCTACCGTCCCGTCCCCGTCCCCCCCCCCCCCCCCACCCTGAACGAAATATAATCTACTACAATATAGTACCTTATAATTATAGTGATGTGGGCCTTATGTACCCTATAGCATGTAGGCCAATATTTCTCATCTCATTTAAGTTCTATTGTTTTGTTAAATCCCCATTGTCTCACACCCCCCCCCACCCCACCTCTTTTTTTCTCTTGTCGTTTCCCCCTACCCCCCAACACCCAGAAACAACCTTACACAAACAGAACCACTTGACTTGTGATCTCGGTATTTTTTTTTCTTCACCTGGCGGTTGACCAAGGAAGCCAAACGTAGGCCTAATCTGCTTCCTGGTTTTTAATCGGCAATCTAGAATAACTTTTATAGCCTACTAGGCCTAGATCTAGATCTTAATATAGCCTGGCATAGGCCTGCTTGATTCAATTTATTTCCTTATTTCCTTTGTTTTTTAATCGTGTTGACGACTTGTGAGACGCGAGGCCTAGAAATTTTTATCTAGATCTAGATTTTAATATTATTTTGAGAATTCATGCTAAATGTTATAGACTATTCTTAACGTTTTCATTGAGAAGTGCCAGTAGTTTAATCAACATGTCAACATCATTCTACCAATCGGTGAAACGCACTCTTTCAGGTAAGATAATGATAAATCGAAGCGAACATTAATTTCGTTTATGGCATATCTAGATCTAGGATTGAATTTAAAATTTCATTTTTAAAATACTCTTGATATAAGACACGGTCATTCATTAGTATTATTAGTCATTAGATCGTTCACAATCAGTCTGATTTTAAAAATCAATAATAAATACTAAATAGGCCCTAAATACTAAATATTAAATGGCCTATTAGGCCAAATAATAGTTTTAAGTGTTTTAAAGTAAATAAATAAAGAACTTAGCCTAAACTTAATAGTTTATGGGTTTAATATTTAGGGCCTATTAAATGTGAAATTACTATACTTTAAAGCCTATTAAAAAGAATTTTATAGTTTGCTAATTTTGTTTTTTTAGATCTAGATCTAGAATCTAAGTAATATTAAATTATTGTATTTAATATTTTAGCTTTAAATTTAGGTTTAGTTAGAAGATATAGATCTATGCAAAATATATGCATTTCTGATGCCATTGAAATTTAGATTATAACTAAATACTATAATCAACAATAAGGGGAGCCTGGGGTCATGAGTGGTTATAATTTTTTTAGACCAGACATGATTAGTTAATGAAAGGTAGATAATAGGGTTAATTTTAGTGACATAAGTAAACCAAGTATATACAACAATGATGGGAGCTTACTCAAGAACAATCAGCTTGGGGGAAAATGTACTGCAATATATATTATATATATATATATATATATATATATATATATATATATCAGTAGCGTACGCAGGGGGGGAGCAGGGGGAGCGGCCGCTCCCCCTCTGGCCATTTTCAGCAAAGTGGCGCCTTTTTGGAAACTTTTTAAACTCAGTTTTAAACAATATTTGTTAAAAAAAATATATTTTTGGTCGGCACATCTATGTAAATCACAAGATTTCTTTTCATGCAGCAATTAAGCATTATTGTACTAGTCTAGTAGGGTCTACGTTTACAACACGTATTAACAGCTGCATCAGTTTGCCATTCTAAAAATAACCAGTATGATGCATTGCAATGTTTAAAAAACCTCTACGGGTAGTACCACTTGGCAAGAGGGGTGTTAAGTTTAAGGCAACTGTATAATGTATTTGCTGACGCTATGTTCACTCTGAGTGGGTTATCTCCCCCCTCCCCCCACACACACCTCACCACCACAATAGTGTAGAGCGACATTAATCTCACACCTAGGTATACACTGGGTTGGATAATTGACCTAAAGTGACCGGACAGTGGTGAATGAAGTTGAATCCACCCCCCCCCCTCCAACCCACCCCGAACTGATCTGTTAAGTACATGTAGAAAAACGCGTAATGATGTACCAAAGTACCATGCCGCCAGAAAATTAGCTTTTTAAACGTAAAACTCTGTGAATATTGTTTTTGCAATTACCAGTAAAAGGTTTGTGATCAATACAGTGATCTAACCCATACCTATCACTATGATAAAAAATGATCTTTAAAGAACACAAAGAAGCAGTAGTTAATTAAAAATATATATGATCTGAACTGAAAGATCGATATTTAGTTAAATTTAGGCTATTATTCCGAATGTTTTTCAAGTATATCGAAAAGCGTGATTTTATACCAACTCTAATTGTAAAAACTTTCGTTATGCTGTAATACTTAAGCATTTATGATGACGAAATATTAAATTATGATTATAGACAAAAACATTTTATAAACGCGAATAGTGTTAATTAAATGTGTAGATATTACATATTTATATTAAGAGAGTGATTATTTCCCCGATTTCACCTGTCTTAAATAATTTCCCAGGAATTATTATGTAAGAAATTTTTTTTACAAGAATTACAAAACAGATTGTGTTACGTTCATTGTTTTTGGTTGTAGTGTGTTTATATTTTTTTTTTAGATTGATACAATTTTTGTTTTGTCGGCCTACATTGTGTGTTTTTTTCTTATTTCTTCAGAGTGCTACTTTCAATTTATTTTACATCATAGCGAAGTAATGACATACAGCTATTAATATATATATATATATATATATATATATATATATATATATATATATATATATATATATATATATATATATATATATATATATATATATATATATATATATATATGTATATATATATATATATATAATACACGTATATAGAACGTGTTAAAAATTCGGCGCCTTTTTTTGCTCTTTTCGCTCCCCCTACAACGAAAACCTGGATACGCCTCTGATATATATATATATATATATATATATATATATATATATATATATATATATATATATATATATATATATACCTATATATATATATAGTCTATATATATAATTCTCTTCTGGGAGACGCTAGAATACAAGCTGTAAACGCGCTCCCTACCATCCCCACCCCTACAAAGTCTTAGTGAGCTGTGGTTCACGCTATGTTTACCTTCGTGGAGTCGGGTTTAGTGACGGCTATTAGGGGCAGATAATTTAGTTTGAAACGATTTTAAACGTTGGGGGGGGGGGGGGGGGGGGGTGGAGGACGGGGGGGTTATGGTCCTTAACGAGCTACTTATAGTGTTTTAAAGAAATATTTTCAGTGTCAGCGTTGGTACTGTCGAATTCACAAATTATGAATTACTGAAAAGTAGAAAAAACAACAACTAAATAGCGGCGTATGTTATGCCGCGGGCCGGCTCGTATTCTTTAAAATTTATGTGTCTAAGGGATGGTGTAGAGCCATGTAATATGACACTGACTTTGATTTTCTTGCAAAAGTTCCATTATACTATGGTGAATCATTTGATATTATGGCGACATAACCAGTATTCATATTTTCTTTTAACCACAAAATACATAAGCTTGATAATTTTTTCCCTATAATTTATTATTAAAATCACAATTCATAAGTACCCAATAGTGTTGTGAAGTAAGTATCAGGGGTGTGTCCTAGAAATGCTATATAATTTGTCAGAGAATTTTTTTTAACTCCACATAATTGTTTCATTATATTTGTGTAGAGATTATTCATTTCGTCAATGTCACACTGGAGGATGAGACTCTCAGTCCAACAGCCCAGCAAGAGAAGGAGAAAATTTTTAAACTTATTCTGAAACTCTACAACGAAAATGAAAGTGTCATTACAAGTGGGGATGACAGAAACACTGATGGCCACAGTGCAGGTAGCACTTCCAGTGCCAAAGAGAGTGGTGGGCACAGTGCAGGTAGTGTGTCAAGCATTAAGGATTCTGGTGCTCACAGTGCAGGTAGTGTTTCAAGCATTAAGGATTCAGGTGGTCACAGTGCAGGTAGTGTTTCAAGCATTAAGGATTCAGGTGGGCACAGTGCAGGTAGTGTTTCCAGCCTTAAGGATTCTGGTGCTCACAGTGCAGGTAGCACATCCAGTGCCAAGGATATTGGTATTCACAATTCTGGAAGTCTGCCCAATGCTAAAGATGCAGGTTGGTTCAAATTATTTTCAGGCCTATTTTCTAACCATTTTGCAACAGTTTATATTTAAAGTAAACAAAGAATTGAAATGGTTCAACTTTTATTTTATAAATTTGTCAATGTTTTGATCATTTTTATACTGCAGCTGATGATTCTCATAATGGCGGGGGTGATTTAGGCAATGATGACAATAGTGAAGACAGTGAGTGTTTTAGAACTCGTCTTCATCAAATAGCATTTTAATTAAAAATCAAAATATATGGCAATCAATCTAAATGAGTTTCTATATTTTTCCTTTACTGTATTAAAATACTATAACTTGTGTGGGGTTTTTTAATAGAGTATTTTAAAAAATCTTTTTAATGTAACTGTATAACTTGTACAATAAAAAAAATTTTTGTTAAGATATCCCAGAAACGGATGTGAAATCACTGACAAACCCTCTGAAAACAGGATATCTAGAAAAGAAGCATAAAGGTTTGAAATATTTTAGAATAGAATGTTGCTTGAATTTTCTGTTGCCATAAGTCAATTATGTATCTAAATAACTTAGAGCAGGTTGTACACATGTAAATAATACAAATGATCTTTGATAAATATTAGGTTTATTTTTTTTATCAAGTATTATTATCAGCAGTGTATATTTAAAATAAAAGTCAAACTTGTCATTTCTACATTTAAGACTTGTCATTTGCTCAGACTGTATCAATTTTAACCAGTGCAAAATTGTTTTTTTTATCAACAGTACTTTTGACATCATCATGGCAGAAACGGTTCTTTGTGTTGCACAATAATGTTTTATACTGCTTCAAAAAACATGAAGACAAAAAGCAACAATTTGCCTTTTATGTCACTGGTAAAATTGTCTATTGTAGACAGTGAAGATGATATTTATGTTTCTTTGATGTAGAAGGCTAGTTTTTCATAGATATTCTAATTTTTAAACATTCAAAACTCTTTAAAAATATTCTGACCAATTGACTTAGATTATATATAACTTGATATAAGAATGAGGAGGCACTAAGATTTATATTTTATATCTATTAATTATATGTCAGCTATCACCATAAAGTACTAAGTGATTAAATTAATGCTAATATGTAATTTATAATATGTAATTAGTATGAGTATAAAATATAATTAGTTTTATAGTGTACATTATTTACCTTAATGTAATAAGCTTTAATTAAACTTATTCAAATCTCATTTTTATTTCAATTTATCTTCCTCTATAAAACCTAATAGTAATAACTATTATAGGCTATTTTTCTACTACTTTTCCATATATATATATATCTATTTAGCTTTTGTAATAATCAAGTATAATGTTATTGTCTGTGCAATAATAAATAAGCTGTAAAAAAATCACAAGAATGGTCAAATTTTAAAGGTGCCTGATGCTTGAAATAAGAATATCACAGACGTTCCATCTTCTAATGCTTCCAATATTTTTATTATTAGAAAGGTAGGAACAAGGTAAATATTATTAATGAAAGATTTGGATAAGATTATTGATATTGTATTAAATGCAAACAAGAAAGACAACTTTACCCTTCACTTTATATAAGTTGAATCATTTTATGTAATTTAAAAAACACCCTAATGGTCTAATTTTGTATGAAAATATTAATAACATAACATAGCAGGGCATGGTGTTTTACTGCTAAAACTGCAGCGAGCTTTGTATGGTTTACACTAGCTTGGCAACCTAAACCTAAAACATTACCTTTTAAATGCTAATCTATAAGCTTTGCTAAAACATGTTTTATACTATCTGTGTAAATATACAATGTTATACTGTTTTGTATCTAATGATTTAATTTTAAATTATAAAAATAAATTATTTTCTTAATAACTCTCTAAAAAATAACCATATTAACTTTTACAACTTAAAGCACTCATTTTTATTTTTACTTTTGGAACTTTTATTTTTACTTTTGGAACTACATATTCTGATTATATATGTGTGTGTGTGTGTGCGCGCGTGTGTGCGTGCGTGTGTGTGTATATTTATATTTATTAAGAAAGAGCTTAAATTTACATCATTACTCCAACATAAGCTAATTCATTCAATTTAAAATCTCTAAGATTTTACTAATCAATATTTAGGGTATGAGTTCAGAGACATATCCAAAGATGCAGGAAAAAAAGACTTCTGTTTTGAACTTGTTTGTCCTACAAAGAAAAGTTACCAGGTATGTTCACACTGTCAAGGGATTTGTTAGACTTGAACAAAGTGTTTCTATAGTAATGCATTCAACTAAGTTAGATTGTTCGTGTTATATTTGTTTTTCCTTTTTTTTTTGTTATCTCCTTTTAACCTTAAGGCTAACTTGTGCCTTTTCCTCGGTGATAAATAAAACAATTTCAAACAATTTCCGATAGACATTACATAACAATATATACTTTGGTCAAAGAGATATATAAACTCTACTTCATCAGCCCAATGAACAAACTGGACTGAAAAGCAAATTTAACTTTTTATTTTTTTTTTAAACTTTATTTAGATATTTTAAATCATTACAATTTATCTTTGAGGTCATCTATAAAATAATGTTGAGCTATTTTGGATAATTTTTACTCCTTCCGCATTGTCGCACATCATCACAAAATGTCAGGGTGTCCCCCCCCCCCCCCCCTCTATAAAATGACATTACACTTCAACCCTACTTCACCCTCAAAAGAGCAATTTGTTTTGTTCGTTTTTTAAATAGAGTCGTGTCAAAATTATGCATTTGATAAACTATCAGTATTTTCAAGAATTCTGATAAAAAAAAGTTTTAAAAAAAAGATTTATCCAACCCCCCCCCCCCCCCTTTGTCACTCATCATCACCTCAGTCCTAATCCTCTGTCCTTGCAACATTGTGACTCTCATTATGGATGATTCCTTTCAGTTTGCAGCATTATCTAAGGAAGAATTAGAAGGATGGAGGAAAGCACTTCAGGCAACTCCAATGTCAAATGAGTATGAAGATGATCGAGGTAAGCCATTATTTAAAATTATCTTTACAGTACTGTCTAGAAGGATCCTGTTTTAATCTGTGGCTTTTTTTTTGTCCCCTTCTTTTTCTCTGTGTTACAGTTATAGTTTTTCATTTTTTTATTCTTTTGCTGTATGATACATAAATATGACATCATACTGTCTTAGCAGTTTTTTACCCTCGGTCACACAAGCCCAAAAAGTCCAGACCCCCCTTGCTCTCTTTACACACACAAAGTAAAATAACATTCGGAAAGTTCTGGTTCATTCCACCTGAAAATAAAACACCCTATCTAGTCTAAATGTGATGTAAAGCTCATTTTTTTCTGACCTCCACTAGTAAATGCATTGTGTGGTTAGCATAATGCTGAATCTTCTCCATCTCATTCTAAGAAAGTGTATTTACATTAAATACACTAAAGCCTGTAAACTAAATTCAAGACATAAAAGTCTAGATATTTGCATCCTTGACCTCACAATCTTGCTCATTAAATTAGCTTAACTAGTAGATCAAAATTATTTTTAAAATTTCAGATATATATGATGTAACTAATGAAATACCAGATGTCCCCAAAGCTCAACCTTACTTGTTTGATAACAATGCCGAGTACAACGATGCTACTTCAGTAGACAGTAGTGCCCCTAAGCTAACCAAATTCGATGTTCCAAATAACAGCGCAAACTATTCAGATAACAAATCTCTTTATGAGGACGGAAGGACAGAAGTCACTCCTGCGCCACTGCCACCTACACGAAGGATACCGCCACCTTTGCCAGATTTAACAGAAGATGCTAAAAAATGTGACGATAATGATGAAGAGTATGTATTTATCCCAGATGTTAACCCTGCCCCCCCTCTTCCAAATAGGTCTGTCCCATTACCTCCGACACCATTAGAAACACATCAACCTCAACTACCTGCAGATGAAGAAAGTGAAGATATTTATGTTGATCCCAATGCTAATCCAACTGTCTCTCCCCCTCCTCTCCCAAGTAGGAATATCCCGTTACCCTTACCCCCAGGGGATGTTCGTAAACCTACACTAACTCCCACCCTGAGGGAGAACTTTAAGCAGCGCTCCGAGGATCATGAGAATTTGTTTTACGGGAAATGGAAGTGTGAGAGCTCAGGCCCCACGGAGCTTAGCTTTAAGAGTGGCGACATCATTCACATTATTAGTCGGGACTTAGAGAAGGAGAACTGGTGGGTTGGTGAGCTAGGTGGGAAAATTGGTCTAGTACCAGTGTCTTATTTAACTCCAGCTTATGAACTTGTCCACTAGCTGTCTGCAGAATTGGTGGGTTGGTGAGTTAGGTAGGAAAATTTCCCTAGAAACATACTCTTGTTAATCTCAAGCTTATGAGCTTGTAATTAAAAAATAGACAACTACTTGCTTCATTCAGCTTTGTAACTGCTGTCTTAATAAGGTCCTCATTAATTAAGATCTCTTCAAGTCCTCAATGAGCTCTGGTTAATTAACTTTCCTATATATCAAATATAATTAATTATCTTTGTGTATTTAACAAGAAATGTTATCTGTACTCAATTATTTTTGGAGGAAGCTCTAAATTTAATTAGTCTAATAATACTAATATATGATTGTCACTGTATTTATCCGCTGAAATTTATGATATTTATTAAGTTATTGATAACAACTTTCAGTAGAAATTCTATGGTTCGAAATTATTTCTGTACATTTACTATCATTTAGTATTTTGTATATTTGTTACATTTCTAATCAGTATTTTTACTGTACATTTTTATTCAATATTTTATATATTTTTAGTCAAGTTAGCATTAACTTATAAATAATTCACTAGTTTTTTTTTTAAATTTATAAATGAAAATGTGGGAAAGGGAGACAACAGACCTTAGTTATCCACACACACAGAGGTTTATATGTAGTCTATCAGATGGCTAAGTGAGTCTATGGGCAATATATTTTTCTATACAGTAACGGTATTCACCCCAGTTTCAGGGGAGCTTAGAACATGTTTTATTGTAAAGTTCAGTTTGAATAACGGAACAGTGTGGTTGAATAGTAGAGCATGCGACTGCCAATAAAGCCTAGAGTTCGGATCCCAGCTTTGATGGGTACCTGACGCACGTTAGGGAAAATAAAGATGGTTGGGCATGTGCAGGTCACCAAAACAGGTGAACTCTAAATCCCCTTCCCCAAGGACTATGATTTGAAATGGTACTGTACATTAAGTTTGAATTATGAAAAGTGTATTCAAGATTTAAAAGATTCTCAAGGCCAGAATACATTATAACCCTAGATTGTCTCATAATTTGTTACATTTGATATATGTATTACCTAATAGTCTGATATTACTTTTTTTGTGATTTTTAAAATATAACAATTATTTTATTGTGATTTCAATAAATGTTTAAAAAAATAACCTATTATTTTCTCTCCACTCTTATTTTTAAGTTCTAAAAGATTATCCTAATGAGTAATGGTCTAAAATGTTAAGTGTTTTTGGTCTTTCAGTGTGAAAATATACACTAATATTTAATGAAGAAGTTATACATGTTATTATTATGTTTTTTTTTTTAATTATTAAGTTTTTTTAAAGTATATTCTAAATACCTACATCACACAGTATTCCTTGTAACATTTTGTTGTATGTTTTGTTCTAATCAATTAGCCATACCCTCATGTTCAAATATTCTACCTTACAGAGACTCCAACCTTACACAACAAAAATTGTAACATAGACCCAAAGTCTACACCAAAGTATTGTTAATCATGGGCCTTGTGTAATATCACGGTTGCCAGAGAAATATACGTTCAGAGAATATTTGTTTCAATTACAACTTTATAATAAATTTTTAACATGAATTTGTATAAAAAGTTCAACATTTATGATAAATATAACTAGTTCTTTTGTTTTTTATTAACATCTATAAAATCGCATGGTTAGTGTCCATTTCTCTTACAGCTAACAGTTAATCCAATCAAGTCACCCGTGTATTAGACAAATCTAACAATAGTTGAACATCACAGCCATACTTTACATATTGTGTCACATCATTTAACATGACCTTTCACCCTATAAATGAAGTCCAAATGCTTGTAGAAGATCAATCTACAAAATCGATGACTAATCTCATAATATAGGAAGAGTATTCTAAGGTTTTTAAAAATTGATAAAATAAATAAAACCAGAACAACTAAGTTGCATTGTATATATATAAAAGAAACTATTTAATTATGTCAATATAAATAGTGCAATATTTTGATGTTGAAATGAATGTCACATGTACACCTTAGTTACCTCTGTTTTTAAATCAAAATTTACACAAACTTTCAAATGAAATAGAATAAATTTAAAAAGATTAAGCTAATAGCTACTAAAATATATCCTAGAGATTTTTATCATTAACTTTTTCTGTCCAGCAGAATTTGGGCAAGCTTAATAAGGGCTCTCTGGGCGTCTGATGGAGCAAAGTCTTTTAACATATTTACAGCTTCACGGCTATGGTGAAGAGCAAGCAACTTGGTCTGTTCCACACCATCACTCTGTCAAAAAATGTATTTTTCTCTTAAATAAATGAGCAGGTTAACACTTAAACTTTAAGTCAAGAGGGTTTTTTTTTATAAAAGCTACTTGAATATATGCTAACACAATAGGCTAGCAAGGAAGATAATTACCATTATTGAAGAATCATTTATAAATGAAAGTTAAACCAAGCTTAAACTGGCTCCAATTTCATCAATAAAAATAAAGTGGAAGATTTTAAAGATATGACAGTGTATTTGATACATTAACCCTTTACAGTCCAATGCAGCCAAATGTGCCAGAAAATTTTCTTTTGTGGTACAGACCTATGCACCCAAAGGCGCCTGTTCAGTCTATGCAATTTTTTTCACTATTAAGTTTGATGCAGCTTTTTTAATTACAATGTTTATTGCATGGTAATTAAGAGTAACACATGCATTTTTTTTTCTGTGAATTACAATTTTATTTTAATTTTTAAATAAACAAGGATTATTTTATTAATTCATTATTCTAAGAAACAATTTTATTTTTTTTATTTTTCCTTAGCATTGGCCTTTGGCAAGGAAAACAATTCAGAGTCAGGACTGTAAAGCTTCAATTTCTGTGGCCAAGGCATATGAAGAGACTGTGTGGGTAGTAATATGTCTGGTCCAATGGTTTAATTTCATTAAGGATTATAGGGAAAAAATTTCTGTGGCTATATACTATCTCAATGGAGTTGGAACAGGTGGACCATTTTTTCTTTCTAACACATAGAATAACCTTAATGGAAGATTTTCTACATCCAACCAACATACAAATTATACTGAATGACGACTTGTCTTAATTTATAAAATTAACTATTTGTTCTTGTAGAAAACAGGTCAAATAAAATGTGTTTTTTTAATAGCCAATTGAGCACCACACATGAACTTTCTGAAAGCTAGAAACATTTCAAGAAAAAATAATTCCAGAAATGGGGTTAACTACTACCTTAGCAAAAAATTTTACTGCCTTAGCAACAAATTCTACTACCTTAGAAACAAATTCTACTACCTTAGCAACAAATTCTACTACCTTAGCAACAAATTCTACTACCTTAGCAACAAATTCTACTACCTTAGCAACAAAGTCTCTAGCCTGCTCAACATCCCCAACTTGAGAGAACCTCCTCATGATCATGGGATGTAACTCAGGAAACTGAGAAACAAAATCAATATGCAATTAAGTACAGGTATAGCTTTTTGAGATTTATACATCCTTACATGTTTAGTTTTGCATACACACCAGAATACTTAATTTTAGTTAGGAGAAATTATTTATTGACTAAAAATGCACAACAAAAAAAATCATCAAAAGTTTTTCAACAGCATACAAGTAATGCTTGTTTATATAAAAAATGTGATTTTTATATAATAAAGTGAAAATATATGAAGTAACTGTCTCTAACTACAAAAAAATGAACTGTTTATATTTACCTCTTGTGCAGCAAATAAAACAGGTGCCGTTGCTAAGCCGAGCTTTAAATCAGCAGCCGTTGGTTTTCCCATAATGGATTCACTTGAGATAAAATCTAATAGATCATCTACAAGCTGGGAATGAAATGAAAACAGACGTAGTTAAAAATTGGCTCTTTACTGGTTTCACATCTAATGATAAGTGTCGCAGTATGGTACTTTTCTTTAAACCATATTGCTTTAATGTAATTACATGGCTAGGAGCACTGATAAAACTGTTTAACTTACTATGGTGATATAAAACCTATCAAATTTAAAATAAAACTCACCTGAAAAGCAATGCCCAGATTTCTACCATACTGATAAGCCAACTCAGACATCAGTTCATCACACTCTCCCAAAACAGCAACCTAAGCAATTTACAACAATTGCTAAGTGAATGTAATAGTCAACTTAGAGAATAAATACATTCATTTGATTTTAAGTTTTACCCACAACAAGTTATTCACATGTAAATTTAAAAAAAAAAACAGGTTAACATTTTAAAAAGAAATTTTATAACAGAAATAAATTTGTAATGACTCAAGGATGTTGCCAACCCTGTGTGGTCATTGAACTTTATAATAACAGTCAGGTAGAAGAACAGCCACAGGTATCCCAGCACTGGCAGTACCATAGGGTGCAGAGTCTTATGGTTGCTGGATAGAAACCAAATCAAACCAGATTTAACAAGCTCTGGCTTAAGCTAATTTTAACTGTATCAACCCTAATAAATGTAAGACTTACAGCTTTGCATGTGTTAGCGATAAGACTGGCAGTTTTCTTGTAAGTCTTCTTTAAATAATGAGAAAATCTTTCATTTTCATCCTCTTTTGAACCAAGCTGCATAAATTCACCTAGGAGACAAATTTACATGTTAAATTATGTTTATGAAAATGAGAAACAGCCTTTACGAAAAAAAGTTTGTAATAAGAAGTAAAATTTAAAAAATTGCAGGTAATCATAATTCTTTTTTTTTTTAATTTTAAGAAGACACATTTACATTAATATTATATTATGAATGTTCACATGACTTTCAAATTAATGTACTTTTGCTAACTACAATTTAACCAGAGTGAAATTATATTTACAATAACATTTATTTTTAAAAATAAAAGCACACTTTGATTAAACAGATAAATGGAAGCTTACTGTTCCATTAGGACATAAGAAAAGCTTTGCAAGCAACTTGTTCTTAGCAATTCCTCAATCTTTCTACATTGCTAGACGTCTTTTTTGACCTGATGATTTACTAGTGCTCTCCAAAGAACTTCGGTTCTAATCACAAATTATCCTATTGGAGATCAACCTTTCTCAGGACTGCGTGGTATGTTTTCCATGATAAGGATGTTTTTAATGTGGAGTTTCTGACACTTCATCCAACACCTTTCTTATTCAAGCTTAGATCCAGCCACTGTGTATGTTTCACTTAATTAGTTCCCGAGTAAGTAAAAAAGGATAATTACAAAAAAATCATGTATACAAGAAACTTACCACTAACTAAGTCCTCCAATACTGAGGAAAGAATAGTTATAACTCGTGGATTATCTGTTCTTGCTAGAGCTATAGAAGCTTGAGAAAGGATGTAATCACCAACAAGAATTGACTGAAGAAAAAAATTGTTTCAGTTATTTGGTTTTCTAATACGATCCCGTATGAAAAGCCACAAATTTGCTAAAATGACAGTGAATGATTTGCCAATAACAATAGTTAAAATTATAAAACATAATATAGCTACATATTGATATGCTAGGAACATGACATGGTATCATGGTATCACTTACTTTTCTTTGACCATACATTTTGTTTAAACTTGAGAGCCCCCTCCGTGTGTCTGAGGCATCAATGACATCATCATGTACAAGACTGGCTGTATGAATCATTTCCGAAACTATGGCAACTATTTTTTGTTTAGACGATATACTGTAAAATATTTGTGGAGTCTTACATTTTCTTTAACTTCAATGGATTTATAGCTTTATGGAAGTAAATTTTTATCTAAATTATACAGAATTCTCCAAGATTAAATTCTGAATATCCCAAGCATTTTTAATACAGACAATAAGTTTAATGAAAAGTAGCAAAATTATCCTAACAGATTTTCTTATCAATATATAAAAAAAACAAGTACCAGAATAATGAACCTTCAGTAAATGTAAAAATTCCACATTTTAAAAAAAAGAACCTGAATAGCAGATTTTTTAAACTTACCTGTCTGATACACAACTTGTATTGTTGCATGCTTTAGACATAAGAAGGGCTACCAAAGGACGAAAAAATTTCCCCTTTCCGTCAAAGTAATAATGGGACATGGCTTTAAGTTGAGGTTCATTTGGGGAAAGTTGCTGTAAAAAAATTGTATTAAATTTCTACTATTTTGATATATATATTTTTTTTACTCCCATTATTACATCTCAAGATAGGTCAACAATTTATTCTGTATTTGCATAACAATATATTTTTTTTGTAATAGCTATAAAATTGTAATACAAATAAACATTTAAAAGTTTTTAATGCATAGCTGTGTCTATATTACTTTATTGACATTGGTAGTTTAATTTTTAACAAATATTTTGTTCACATTATTGACATTGATAATTAAAAATTTCTAGGCCTATTTAATTTAATTATTAATTCATGTTCAAATATACCTTTCTTATATCTTGAGCTACACATGAAATTTCAGGGCCTACTAATTTATATGGATCTATATCTGGAATACTGAGACTAGGTTCATCTTTTTGTGGTGTAGAAAACTGTCTACACCTTACTGTCATGGGTAAGTGAGGACTGGTGCATGGGATAGTGTATTTCCAAGATCCAGATTTTGTTTGGTGTAGGGAGAACCATCTTGAGCATAGTTGAAAATGGTGATGACTACTTTTATTACAATGGACAGGCTAGGGAAAAAAATTGAAATATTTTAAAATATTTTAAGAGAAGTTTTGAGTGATATTCATGAATTTAAAAAAAAAGATTTTAAATGACTGTGTTCTGTTATTTCTCACACCAATGAAAACTGGAAAACTCAAATCTTTTAAATAAGCCTATGCAGGCTCCCAAGACAATAAAATACTGTTTCAAGGTCTTTATCCTGCCTGCAGCAGTAGTAGGTAGTGTTGGAACTACGATTTGGGTCATCTCCCCAAGTGAAAAATGAAAGGACCCATGGTTATCTACTGAATGCACAGTAGGCCTAATTGTTAATTGAGCAATATTGTTTTTACATGAGTTAATAAAGTGAAGTATAGTTCAACCTCAGGTTGTGTAGGCTACATATGTCATAATTAAAAATAAATAGGGGCCTAGACATAATTTTAAGTCACTATGAGTACTACTAACAACTACTAGTCAACTAGGCCACTAGGCCTACTAGAATCTAGCTAGATCTAGATCTCTACACACCACTAAGTTACATACTAGATTCTAGATCTAGATTCTAACTAAATACTAGACTATAAACTAGTATAAACTATACTAGAATCTTAGGAAGTTCAAGTTAGTACTAGATCTAGATCTAGATCAAGATCTAGATCTAAGTACTAAGACAGCAGTCAGCACACACCCCACTCCCCACCAGTCACTTCACCCCTACGATTAATATTAAATTTATTAGATCTATATAACGTAAAATGACTGCATGTGAATTACAAAACACACCAGAATGTAAAAGTTTAGGCTAGTTAGGAAATCAACTGGTTATTGTGTTATTTAAAAATTCTGTTCAAAACCAGGACTTCAGGTCCAAGGTCATCGACCCATTTCTTTACATAACATAACCTAAAAAAAATTATAAACTTGACAGGTAGACTGTATTTACCCTTGACAGTTGTGTAGATTGGAAATGGCAAATAGTTATAGATCTAGTTCTTTTGCGTTCATTTAATGATATATTAAATCCTTTATACAAATTTTTCGAACATGAATTGTATTTGCCTCGGTTAACTGTTCCAAGTATAAATCTCGTGGCGGTAATAGGAATTGCCATTTTGTTTCGTTTCGGTTTTTAAAAAATTAGAGTAGGTAGAGAGATCTCTACTGCTAGATCCATAGTCAGTATAGACTAATTCCCGTTTTTTACTCTTACCTATTACTATTTCTTTCCTAGATCTGGGTCTATAAACATAAATCACCAGGATAACTTATATTAATAATTTAGTAGCCTAGGCTACAAGAAGATTCATTTTAGATCATTTTCGTAAAGTCATCAGACAAACCCAAACTCAATAGCCTAACCAATAATTATAAAATATTCCCCAAAAAATAACAAAATTATTAGAAAACAGTAGGCCTAATTAGTAATTAAATGGGCAGTGTTAGTATCATGACAAATTAAAGACAATTACAGGTACAATGGACGTTTCGATCCAAGTTCTTCGAAACGTCCATTGTACATGTAATTGTCTTTAATTTGTTAGGATATTAACACTACCCGTTTAATTACATAAACCTCACTACATCTACCATTTTATAAAATTATTAGATAAGCGAATATTATATGTAATGGAATATTCCAAACTCGGCAGTTACAAATGGGATGCTTGCCTCCCTAGAGCGGCGCGGAATAATAGTAGGGGAGGCGCTTAAAAAAAACAGAAATGTTCAATTTGCTTATATAAAAAATATTTTTTAAATACAACTATGAATAATTAAATACGCTAAATATAATGTAATTCTTCTTCTTCTGCGTTCTTAATTCAGTTTATGTTGGAGGATTTAAACAACAAGTCCAACTTCGTGGTCTCCAGATCTGCAGGTGCCTCATATAGTTTTTCCTTGAGTGGGGTGTATAGGGACCAGTGTTTGGATAGCGCCTGGTTTTACAAGGAGCGGTCCTGAAGGATGTACTCTGCATTCTCCGGGGCCATGCCACAAGGGCAAGTTTCACCAGACCCAACTTTTAGTTTTTCATACATGTGTTGTTTCAGTCTGTTGTTGCCTATTCTGAGATTGAAGATGATGGGTTGTTCTTTGCGTGTTAATTTGTAAAACCCGTCCTCTTTTTGTAGTATTAGTGTGTTTCAGACCACATTTGTGATTGCTTGTTTTTTATGATTATTTTTATTTATTTTTTTATGTAGCGAGATTTCGGTTTGTTTTTTCTTTCTTTGTTTTTTTTTTCCTTAGTATCTCATTTCCTTGTATCTGGGAGTGCCCCGGGATCCACTGCAGCAAATATCATGCTGTATGATGTACTTACTTTTTAGCCTTTTAAAGGCTGTCCTGATTGATTGAGTATAGGATTCTGGATTTTATTTTGGAACTGCAGGACAGATTTTGCATCTGTAAGAAAGATTATCTGTCTTTTTGGGGATTCAGTATAATGTTATGAAAATAGCGTTTTATCATACTTAAAAGAATTATCAAGCGTACACATTTTGTTTAAAATGTTTTAGTAATTTAATTTACATAGCAACCGTTTGGCAGCTGACATTAGTCCAGAATGGTTAGTTTGTACCGATTGGGCTAAAATGTAGGTTTTAAATATGGCTAGTTTCTGAACAGTAATCTCATGTTAATTTATAATAGAGTAGCATAATCGTGAAAAAGTATATTGTTCTAAAGAAAAGAACTAGATCTAGAGCAAATAAGTATTTTTTCAAAATTCTCGGCAACTAGATCCGTAACTTGGGCTGAATTTTAGTTCCGCTAAAAATGGCAGCGCCCTTAACCAAAACATTGTGTGTCTTTTGTAGATATAGATCTAGGACAAACCATAGTTTAGTGACTAGCAAAACGGCAAACATTTTCGAATCTAAATTTGTTAGTATATTACATGGCAAGAAATATTCCATAAAGCCATCAACAAAAGTATACACAGTTTCTAAATCTAAAAAGGTTAAAGAATCCAATCGTACTGATGTCAGTGATGAGAAACAGGCCAAGGCGACCAAGACCAAGGGTAGGTTTCACCACTAGAATTCCTAGATCTAGATCTATCAGTTACGCTGCGTTTACACTTGTGCCTTACGACATGCATACTATACATTTCTAGAACACAAAGCCCACCAAAAGTTAATTTTAACTGGAAACATCCCATTTTTGGGAGAATTTTTATACCAGTGCCCGATAAAATAAAATCTTTTTCTTTAAAAAAGGTTTAGGTTACTGGTAGTTTTAACTAAATACTAAATACTACACACATGGCTGGCTATACAACTAGCTATGTGCTAACTGTAATTTTAAGTTTAAGTTCTACTTACCCTTGTTTAATCAGAATTCGTAGACACATTAAAAATTGGAGAAGCGTTTCGTTTTCTGATGTACCTTCTCAGAATTTCCAAATTAAAGGTAAACAAATAATACCCAAAGAAGAAATAGACTTTTAAAAGTAAAAAACACCATTCACCCTTTGAGTGGAGAGGAATGTTTTGATACAGTGTTTTTTATTTGCGTGTCATGGTGGTTTAGACCATGTGCTGCTTCGTTCCTCGTTTATATCCTCAAGGAACAGCTTGTATTGTTTGAATGAACAAACATTTTCTGCTGGGGTGCAGATTTCTTTGAAAATCGGTGTATGCCAAGTTCATTAAAAATATTGTGACGAGTTATAACTACACTGATACCCTATTGACGAGTCTATTATTAAGAATAAAGTAGATCTAGATTTTAGAGTAGGGCCTATGACACTTGGTTTGTTTTTTAAAAATCTCCTTATGTTAATTATATCCCATTTTAAACCTAAATAATTATGACTTGTTATCTGCCCACTGCCTGTTTTTATAGTCCGTACAAGTCATCCCTAAATGCTAAATTGAAATAACTCAAACATTAAAAAATTATCATTTAAGTATGTTTGGGATTTAATAAAAGAAATAATAAGTAATTATAGTATAGATTTGTATATTTAATTTACTTTCTGCATCAGCTGAGTGCTAGAAATTAGGATGCACTTACTGTTACCACGACGCATGTGTACTCATCTGAAAATTCATAACATTTTGTATATTTTCGTGAGTGAAAAACAAAAAAAATTAGTCCAGAACACAAAAAGAGTGTGGTTTTGTGCCCAGCAAATCAGAATATGTTCCATATTTGATATATCCATAACTTGTTTAGTATACATTTAAGTCAAATCTAATATAAGTGTTAATGCAGTGTTGCAGATCTAGAGAATTTTATGGATCTAGAAATCTAATATCTAAAATTTCAGCTTTGAAATAATTAGATCTATCTATCCATAAATGATAACTTATATTACTTTAAGTTATTCAATCTAGTTACTAGTCTAGTTAAAGTAGTGAAGTAGTAGTTACAGTTTAGTCTCAGTTTAGATTTTAGATGTAGTATCAGATAGGGCGCATTATTTAATTTAATAGGCCCCTATTATTTTTTATTGTGATAAGTTATGACTGGACCAAGTAAGAGTAAGAGTCCACTGGGAATATCACTACATTTAATATTTGAATCACCTCAGAATTAGGCCTTTAGTAAATGAAAAGGTCAAGCAACAACAATATGAATCAGTTTTTGATAAACATTTTTTCTTACATCATTGACAGCTGGGGCTATTCCTTTATTCAACCAAATACTTGAACAGAAGTACAGTGAGGCACGTCGGAGCATTCTTGTGAGGACTTATAATGTTGAAAACACCCTTGATTTACTCTCCACCTATGGTCGTGTTAGTCATGCTCAGCTTATAATGCCTGAGAAGGTGAGCTTTGTTGGTGTAAAATAATTGTATATGCATAACATATCAATTCATATATTGGCATTAATACCTTTTTTAACAACTGGTTTAACTATATCAAACTAATCATATCTCAAGCAGCTGACTAAGCCCTCTAAATCTGACAATCACCAATTAGTTTGTATTTGCTGTGTAGTTTATCCTAAATTTGTAAATAGCTAGTAAACTTTGTTTAAACTGGCATTTTTTTTTAAAATGTATTCTGGCTAAATTAACATTTCAATATATGTCTTAAACAAAGGATTTTCCTATCATACTAATATGTTATTTCCTATTTAGTCCTTTCTTTTAGTTGAGTTTTCCAATGAGATCAATGCAGTCAAAGTACAGAACAGTTCTCAGTTATTTAATGAAGCCAACCAGTTTCCTATGAGAACAAGAATACTATGTGATACAAAATCTCACCTTCCCCTTAAGAAGAGAAGACAAGTGCCAGAGGTTTTAGATGGAAGTTACGATAACAAGATTTCAGAGGTCTATCCTCACTTACCAACAGTCAGTTGCTTTTTAATTCTAAGAATAGGTTTATCTTGTTTCAGTGTAAAGTAAATGACAGAAAAAAGTTGTCCTTCTAGTTGTTAATTAACAGGAAACAATATTGTTTGAAAACCTGATTTACTGCATGAAAGAAAAAAACATCCAAAATAAATTACACTTGTGACCAATGGCTTCCTTTCCCAAAGTCTTACACGATTTAAGATACTAAATGTAGATGTCTATTTGAATGCTTCTGTCTTTCACTTCAGAAAGACCTTATCATCTGATGGCTCAAAGAGCTCATGTAACTTATCTGTAATTATAATATATAATAAACACATTCAACTGTTGAATTATGAAGATAAATCAAAGTTATGAGTAAAATCAGTCCAATATTACATTTTATTTAACACAATTTACATTCAATACATTTGAATAATCATTTTTCATCTGTATTTCTATCAAATGAATCCATCTTAATACCAGGTTGACAAAGAAATAGAGATGTTATGTGAGCGTAGGTTGTTGGATGATCAAGACTTGAGACTGAGGTTTTTTGCTTGCCTTGTGATAGAAGACATGCTGCAGTCGGTACTCCCAGAATCCCGTGTGATCCCATATGGTTCCTGTATGAATGGTTTTGGTTGGTGGAACAGCGACTTAGATATGATGATATGTCTGGACAATGAATTGAAGACTTCACACTATGTAAGAGCTGATTTAAATTCATTCATTGTGTATTTTTAATGTAGACTACAATTTTCTTATTTTGTTTGCTTTAGTTATTTTAAGCAAATGTGTATTCCCCACCCCCCAAGTTCCTTTCAATATTCTGCTTTGGTAACTCATTTTTAACTATTCTAAACATAAACTCCTTCAAACCCCCCTCTTTTGTGTAGAATAGTCAACAGTTCAATAATATCTTGTCAATTTTTTTAAAACCCCAAATGTATCATTTGTGTTTTGGATAAATCTTATATATTAAAATGTGTAACTGTGACTTTTTTAATTGCTTTGACTTAAACTTATTTGCTTTTTTCAGTTATTATGTTTTGATCGTGAAAAAACGTATGCTTATACTATTTATTATTTAGCATTTATAGAAAGTTTTGCTAACGGCTTGTTGACAAAGAACAAAATGAACAAGAAAATCTTCAAAAGAACATTGTGAATATGCTAATAATATTTTTTAGAATATTAGAGCTTTCTATATTACAACATTTTCTAATTCAGCCTCTTTTGTTTTGACAGAAAGGCAGTACTGGCAACCAACAAGCTTTGAAGTTTTTAACAGAGATATTTAATACAGAGCGCCAACTAGCTCAGCGCACCTTGTCTTTTGTGGCAGCTTTATTAGAGCTGAGCCCCCGAGTCAACAGCATGCTGAAAATACTCGGAGCACGTGTGCCTATTATTCGATTTAAACATAACGCTTTAAGTCTTCCCTGTGACGTTAGCCTCCATGCAGTGTAAGTTAGCTTTACAAAAACATCTTGCAATGTCAATTCTTTCAAGTGCATGAAGAAGAAAATTTTATAAATGCGAAGTGAATTTTTGTTGAGCAATAGAGGTCTGATGTTTATATGTCAGTTATGTCAATCCTTTTTTAAATTAAATTGAGTTGGCAAAGCAGTTGTGTCTGATGTTATGATACTAGTAGCTAAACCTTAACTTGTGTTTTCAGGGACAGCATTCATCTGTTGTATTTGATGCTATGAATTTATAATACCAGTATCTAAAACAATCTTAACTTGTGTTTTCAGGGACAGCATTAAGATGACTGAGCTGTTGTACTTGATGTCAGTCTGTGATTCACGGGTCAAGCCTCTCTTGTGTGCCATTAAACAATGGGCGATAGCTCACAACTTAACCTCCAGCGGAGAGCAACAGAAACCAACGACCATTGGATTTATAATGATGCTGATCTTCTTTCTACAGACACGAACTCCAGCTGTACTCCCTACCTTCAGACAACTTCAAACATTGGCCAGTAAGACAACATTCATTTTATAGAATAGATGTTATTACAGTTTTTTTAATTTCATTTGTCTAGAATACACACATTATTTATTTGCTTATTTCAGGGATGTGACTTTTCCGAATTTTAGCGGAAATCCGATTTTTCCGTTTCAGTTGCGTTTTTCCTCCGCTGATTTAATTTTCGCCGAATTTTTCCGCCGACTTTCAATTTTTGTCGATTTTTTACGAAGTTTTAAAAATTAGGAAAAAAAAAACGGAAATGTCTTCTACGGAAAGGGCCGACATGCTCATTCCACTTATTCGTATTTAAATTTAAATCGACAACTACTGTACTTAGGTCAAACGGACACTCGAATATACGCATTTCTTTTCGATTGGTCGATTGCGCTAGGTATAACGGTGCTAGATCAAGTCAAGATTAAATGTAGATTAAGATTCGGAATTTCGGCAGACTTACGAATTTTTCAAAGCACAATTGTTTAGTCCAAATTTTCCGCTGATACTTTTAGTTAACTATTTATCAAAAACACGGGAAGTTATTCAAATGAAACTTACATCTCTTAAGCTTGGTAATCTAGCTATCGATATAGCCTAATTTATCTATCTAGCCTAATTTATCTATCGGTATTTTAACCCGCCTAAATCTACAGTTTCTCTCTGATTCTATTTTATTTCGCAATCTCAAATTAATATGGAAATCCTTGCTAAAATTGACTATGAGGACTAGACTAACCCGCCCCACCTCATACTAACGGTGGCTCTTGTGACCTCACCTTGACCCCAAGTACGTTTTCGATACTGCTTCACAGTCAATTTCAAATAGCTGTTCCTGCAATACGTATGCTTCGTAGGCCTACAGATTAAAAAAAATACTAAACTCAACGTGACCACGACCGTGTCTTGTTTGTGGAGGAAAAAATATGTACAGACTGTTTTTACATTTTTAATAAGGGGTCTTCCCTAAATATAACGTCACACTCGTAAGATAGTGTAACGTCATATTTTTGCATTCAAAAAAGTAATGTTAGAAACAACTGCATTTTAGCCGCTTTTACGAGTTTTAGAAAACTGTTGTAAAACATAGAAATTGAATAAGATACCCTATGTTGGTCGACCTCAGTCAATATTTCAGAAAAAAATCGATGTTTAAAAAAAAAATTCAAATTCAATTCGAGGGGGGGGGGCTGAGGTGTGACGTCATTATAGGAGGGGGGATCTGGATTTTGTAGGACAGAGGGGAGGTAAATATCGTCAAAAAAACGTGGATGACCCCTAACAATTTACAGCTATTCCAAAAAAAACATAAATATCGATGTGGCTTGGCTATCAAAATGATTAACTTTGGTTCACACATCAGACCATTTCTAATCTTAGCTAACCTGGTCCAGTCATTTTTCCATCACATGAACCTAAAACGTTCATATTATAACTAATCTTAATCTAGGCTCTTTACAGTTGAAGACAAATATTTTTACCAATCCAATCTTTAAAAGAATATAGGGTATTAGGCCCCCTATTTAAAATTGAAAACAGGAGTACATCTAGAATCTACACCAGATTAGTAGGCCTACAGTTTAAATTAGCTTAATGGTAAAATAAAACTTAATTGCTACTTTTGTTACATTGTAATTTTTAAAAAGTTGTTTATTGCAATTAGACAAGACTTTCAATGTTATTTTAGAGTAACATTAACTTCTTGTATTTAAAATATTAACTTCATTAAACAATTTATTAGTACAGTAACAGTATGAAGCTGCTTAACCGCGATAAAAAGTAGATAAAGCATATTGAGTTATTATCCGAAAAAATTTCCTAATTTTTTTTCCTGGTCTGGTCACATCCCTGTTATTTGTATACTTTATTTTACATTTCCTTATAAAAAGGGAAATTCTATCTTGATGTACAATAAGATGTCATTGATATAACTGATTTTTTTTTTTAATAAAGCAGACAGCTATATTTGTTTGCATGTTTTGTGAAAACATTTTGTTGACTTGCAGGATAATTTTTTTTCCAATTTTAAAATAGAGCATCCTTCAGATAAATTCTTTATTGATGATGTAGAATATGGACTTCCTAAAAATCCATCCCTAATGCCAATTTCAGAAAATAAGGAATCACTTGGTGAGTAAATTTTGTTACTACTCCGTGCTTACTTCACAATACATATCAAGTTGATTTAAGACATATTATAAAATTTAAAATTTTTTTTATTTTTTAGGGCCTACTCATGCATGCTTTTTACATTTATTTCAAATCTGAGTATAGTTTTTGTGTTATATTTTTTATTCATTTTATTCATGAATACAACTAATTGAAATGCTTTTTTTCACACTTGGTAATTTTAACCAATGTTTAATGTTTGTAGTTTAGCTTTATGTTTGCATTGTTTACATTTCAAAAAGCTTGTCACAGTTAGTTATTAAAATGGGTTATGGTAGTTTTAAGAGCAAGAAACTTTTCTCTTTTAACAGAAAACCTACTTCTGGGCTTTTTTGAGTATTACTCTCAATTTGACTTTGACAAGAAAGCCATCTCAATCACAGAAGGCGCAACATTTGAAAAACAAGCAGACTCTCGACCAATTTACATTGAAAACCCTCTCTCAGTGAGCTTAAACATTTGTCAAAACGTTGGCAGCAGTCAGCTCAGTGAGCTAACCGCTGCCATGAAAGAGGCAGCCTTGAAATTGAAATCTGCTCACAATGAGCCAAACAGGTCAGCACTGTCCATTTTATTTGAGACAAATGAACCTCACCCAGTAGTTGAAGCTGCTGATTTATTTCGTGAAATAACACCTGATCAAGCTACAGATAATCAATCAGGTTCTGTAGTAAATTCTGAAGTTGTTCATTAACTTTATATTGTAGAGGTCTGTATTGTTAAAAAATATATGATCTTAAAAGCTGCAGATTTATTGAGTTGAGAAACATGTAAAAGAATCTGATTCTAAAGTTAATGATGGGTATTCAATAACTCAATATTTAGTTAGCCTATATGCATCATGTATTTTGTATATGAAGCTGCAGATTTTATTCACGAAAGCTATTTCTGATAACCAAAAAAAATCCGTCAGATTTTTATAGTAGATGCTTTAAGTTATTTAACTTAATGATGTGATTACTTTCTATGAAAATAAATCATGTTTGTATGGAATAAAATGCTGTGTTTTCATCCTTGGATTTATTGTCTTATCATTCAAAAAAGTACTTGTTATCGAATACTCATTGATGGTGGCAATTAGGGGAAAGTGAAATCTGACATACTGCAGACAGGTTGACACAGCACCCAATTGCCTTTAACATTTTCCTTTGTAGCTGAATTCTCAAACATACAGTAGCATCTTAAGTATCTAACCATGTAGCACTATGCCATACAGGTATGCCCAGTTGTTTCAACTCTTCTCCTTGTAGCTGAAGACTTGCTGGATTAAGTACCAATAGTGAAATCTTGTCTTGGGGTAACTGCACTACTTCTTGACTGCCCAATGTACTTCAATGTATTATTAGGCATCATAAATTTTAAAAATCAAACTAAATGGTTTATATTTCTACATCTTAACATACAGCAACAGTTTAGTTAAGAAAAAAAAGTATAGATGGTTGGAATTGAACCTATAGCACCCAAACATGATTCTATAACACATTGATAGATGTTAATTGGCTCTAAAAAAAAATAACTGCATTATTTCCAATACATTTTAATGTGTTTTTTAAATTGAAGTGTGTTTTCTTTGTAAGTCACAAGATCTTAGCAAAAAAATGTAATGTGATATTTTGCTGATTTAGCATTAATAGACTTTTAATAGATTATTTTTCCATACAAAATCAGGCTTTTTCAAATTTTATATTAAATAATTCACAACAAATTAGTAGGCTAATAGTAGGCCTTTCAGTATTATTTTAACTTACAAAAGCAGAACTCACTTTACGTGATAATTATTGTATAGCATTGGCAGTATTTGTGTGTATGAATGAACATAGTCAGTTCACTACGATCTACCGGGGATATAACGATATTTAAAGCACATTTACAAATGGCCCGTTAATGACCAAAAGCCATCAGCTCGAGGAGGGAGGGAATTACATGTTACATCACCACTAGTTTAGACTTGGAAATATTGAATATTGTGCACAGAGTTTTCTTTAATAATGAATCTTTTGGCCTGTTGTAAAAATTAGTATAAAATGACTTTCCAACCTCTCTAAATTGCAGAAATTGGGCAAAAATCATAATGAAGAACATTAAATTATAAATGTTATGTTACATTTAAATTTAACCTACATTAGTACTTAATTAACATTACCGCCATCCTGTCATAGACCTGAAGATTAACAAGGAATAACCACATTGATACAACCGCCCCCCCCCCTTTCCCCCCAGCTGTGCCTGAGAAGTTGAATTGTACGAAATCGTAACATGATTTTTGTGAACATATGTCGGGCGGCTCACATTTTTATTTTCTGGTTGGGAATAGGAAAAAGAAACAAAATCCTTTCAATTAACGTAATTTTATTATTTTTTTAGTCAAGTAACAAGTCAATAGAGCGAATACAAATTTATACCCATTTAAAAAATGTATCTGCCTCTTTCTTTCGAAGGAGGATTATCCTAATACAAAAACTAAGTCTGTGCGTGTACTTCTGGACCATTCATTTCCCTAAACCAATCATTTGCTTCCAAAGTTTGGTCACGTGATTCCTGTGGAGATCGGTGTTGTATAGTAAAAGAAAAACAAACTTCAGTGCTAAAATACTTACAAAAGTAAAATTGGTAAATAATAGTGGTTTTGCAGATTAAACAAGTAATCGTATTAAGTTTAACATAAGTTGTTTCAACAGCATATTTAGAGGAATTTTCTTTGAACGTTGACTAGTACAATCGTACTAACAGCATTCCATGTGTTTGTGCGGGGGCCACGGTACGATAGGAATGCAACTGGGTCTTTCATTCATTCACCATTCCGTTTTGCATACAGGTTGTTTATAATGAGGCAAGAGGACTCATGGGTTTATTCATTGTCTAGATCCCACGATTACTGGATTAGACTTTTTAGAACTGTGGTAGAGCCTTAAGAAAAAGATCTTAGTCTTAGAAATCTAGTCTAGTTTTTATTTATTTATTTAAATAATAACTAGTCAAGTAGAATCTATATGAATCATGATGTGGTTAGACTAGAATTAGTAGACATCTAGATTCTAGATCTAGATCTACTAAACTACACAATACTACACATTTTAACACTTTTTACTTGTACCATTCATTTTCATAGACTAGGCCTTATTTCCATTATTTTCAATTATTTTCACATGATTGAATTGTTCTTACCAAATTTAAAAATATAGGCCTAGTTACTAAAGTTAGTAAGTTTATAAGTTAGCCTATCAACTATCAATCTAATGAGATTATTTTTAGCAGCAGTTAAAATATAGTTGAAAATATAGTATACTAGATAACCAGTTGAGGGAGAAATACACCAGGTGCTAGTTGATATTGTTGTCTTTTTATCAAAACCAAAATCATCACCTCATTTTAAAATTTAACTGGAAAGAAAAATGTAATTGAAAATGGATTTTTATTCAGAAGCGGCATTTTAACTGGATTTTACCTTGATCTACATGTAGTTAGTGTACTTTCGTTCTAAATATAGTTGCAGTCATACCCCTAAACCTGGCACCTAAGCTCAAACTTGGCAAAAGTCATATTTTGAGTCTCTATCATGAAACTCTTCAGGGGGGGGGGGGGGGGGTCTCAGAGACCCCCCCCCCCCCCTCCAATACTTCTACAGCCCCTGTAATGAAATAAAATCTAGGCCTATGTAGAAAATACATTTTTTTCTAAGGGGGTGGGGCCTGACACTGGTAAAAGTATATATATTTTCTATATGTTGTATTTTGTTTAAGGGGGGGGGGGGGCCTGAAAGAAACTGCATACAGACCACTTTTAAGATTAGACAAATAAATTAGGTTTTGATGTGTCTTTATTATCATAATCGATACTGTCATTGTTATTGTGTATTTTTTTCGGCAGTGCCTTTTTAATTCTATGCTTACTCTAGAATAAATGACGTTATTTTATAGTGTGTATTTTTCTGGCTTTAGAACTGTACATGTTTCTTTTTTAAAACTTCCTGTATGTTCCAAGTGATGTCAATTTCTTTCACCATGCATCTTTTAAATGTCCTTGTTTTCTCTAGAGCTGACAGACTAAATAGAGAAACTATCAATGTGATAGGGGCCTGAGTGATGTCTAGCCACACAAAAAGTTCCCTTTTTTTACCTGACAGTCCATGGTGTAATTGAAGTAGATTTCATCTGTCTTCCCCTAACATGAGTTATGTGGACTCAGGGATGTTCTGCTCACTTGAACCCTGATTCAAACTCGAGACTTGTGGGTTAGCAGTCTAGTGCTCTACCTCTGGGCCATGCCATCTCCTAAGCCTACATTAAGATTTTAAACTTCATTATTGCTTAAGATGACTTAAAACTACATATCATCATTTATCCTTTCTGGCCCCTTTAATTAGATACCAGTTTTAATTATCAAAATAAATTGGTAGCCTAGAAAATGCTTTTTAAAAATATAATTTGTTTGTTATTAAATGGCTATGTTGCTATGACGGATACTGTGGGTGAGTTTTTAGGAGATTTTGTTTTGAAGCAATAGATTGTACAGCACAAAGATGTTTGCTAAAAAAAATGTAGTTACTGAGGTAACCTGTGGGTAGTATGGTGCCTATGTTCCTTTTAAAGAGTGGGATACACTGGGCTACTCTAATCGCTCACTAAATCAAATCAGGAGCGCCCTCCAGCACCCTGACAAGAGGCGATTTGACACCCCTGCGGTAGTTCATCTGGTGGCTCCAAAGAGTGCCCCACGATGCCAGACAACTGGGCAGTTGCTGATGTGTGTTCTACCTCACTTTTACAGAGGGTGATTACACTCAAGTCTTTCATATTATAGCACAAACTGTGGCAATGGGCAGTAGTGTGGAGAAATCCGCGCACCAACACTTGGACCCAAGAAATATAGCACCTGCTTTGTTTTCATTTAAACAACTCAGCTTAGTGTCTTAAAATACAAAATTGGTATTGCATTTGAAATGCATTTTAACGCATTAAAATATTGTGTCAACCCTACTTCTGAAACCACACCCACTTTAAGTGTACCCACTAAGTGGCTATTTTCTTCTAAACTGCTCCTTAGTGATTTGATTCCCATTAGGGTGGTCTAAGAAAAAGTTATTCAACATTGCATCATCTCCAAACTGTGTCATACTGTTTAAAATTAATTTTTTTTTACCTCAACTTCTCCCCTCTCCATCATCACATTAAAACCAGACCCTCCCCCCTTAAAATGACATCACACCTCAGCCTACTTTTTTATCCCCCCCCCCCCCCTTCCCCCTTGCGAACATTAGTAGGTGTTTTTTGCCAGTATCTAGTATGTGACTGTGAATCAATTTTTATTACAGTATACAAAGAGTCTTTTTAAAAATCATGAAGTAATGGCTAAAATAGTGTCTTATATTAGTATTGATAGACAACCAAAAATGACTGTTCATGAAAAGTTATATATATATTAACCTGCCATGTCTCACTGAACTGAATACTGTTTCCACACTATTCCATTTATTTAAAGTTTTTTTTTTTACAACAACAGGTGAACAGTGCTGGTAAATGTCCCTTCCAGAATTTTGAGGATATCTTATATTATTACTAAAGTATGGAATCTCAAATGGTGTGTATCTTGTGTTTTAAAGGAAATATGAACATACTTAGTTTATTACAATGTTTTTGTTTTATAGTCAATCAGAAGACCGTACACTAATTTGGTCCTTTCCTACTATTACCTCCTAACATATTCAAGTGTTAATTATATGTTTATTAGGGCTAATATGCTTACACAATTAATCAACCACACACACAGTATAATGCTGTTAGTATTTTATTGCCATTTAATGTAATCCCCCTATATCTTATTGCTCCAACAATTGCCCAACATTTTAGGTTTAATATATTCTTTGTTTTGAAAAGTTCGATTGAATGTTTTTATATTTTCTGTAATAGTGTAATGTGCCTTTTTTGTTATGGTAGTTTTTTTTAATAGTATATATACCAATCTGTCCTTGTTTACTAAATTAAATTTGTCTTTATTTAATTAAGAAAGCTCTCTGTATAGAAGAAAAAAAATGTGGCTAAACTTTTTTACACTTTCTGACAAAAATTAACTGTTAATTTTTGTTTCAGATCTTTTGTAAATGCTGCAAGTGACCAAATGGTTGCAAAATGAAGGCATCCTCTCCACATACATCCCTGCCTTCACCCCAGCAGCAACAGCACATTTCCCCACAGCAACTGTCCAAACAGCACCAAGTCCTACAGCCTAGTCGTCAGCACCAGCACCAGTCACCCTGGCAGCAACAACAGGGCAAATGCCAGAATCAGACCATGAGTCACCAGTCCCAGACAATGAACCACCCCCCTCAGTCAGTGCGTTCACAAGGAAGAGATGCGGGGGAGAGGAACTATGAATTTTTATCCCATGTTGGTCAAGGTAAAAAAAACTAATTAATTATATTTCCACATATTTTTTGAGGAACACTTCAGTTAGCAATGGTGATCTGCTATTTTTTATTATTATTTAACATACTTTTTTTTAAGTTGTATTTTTTTATAGCTAAAATGTCTAGCAAAAAAGTGAACTGCACTTTTTTGTTTTTTGAGTTCTATTATTGTAAAAATACATTAAAAGTTATCAATAAAAGTAACCTTTTTAAGTAATGTGACAAATTCTCATACTTTATGAAAAGAAACTTTTAAACAAAATGGAAAATCCCAGTAGTTGCTACACTTAAGATTCAGTATCTTATTGATTTTTACACTTAATTTTTTTCTGTGCTCCTTTGCAGGAGCTTATGGTCAGGTATACAAAGCTCGAGATCCAAACAAAGAAGGATCTGTCGTTGCCATTAAACAAATTAGAATAAGGCGACAGGGCAGGCATTATGAAGCTGGGATGCCGATGGCTGCAGTGCGTGAAATATCCTTGCTGAGACAGTTGGAGAGTAAAGAACACCCCAATATTGTCAAGTAAGTTTTTAGCTCGGTGTGGAGTATTGTTATGGCTGAAACCAGTGTATCTAATCAGAGTAAATGGAAGCACCCTCTTTGATTCATCCGATAAAAGGCTTAAAATTCAGGAAGCAGCAGATTTTTTATGTGCCAGATTATTACAGATTTTGTTGGTGGCAAGAGGTTTGACCAGTTGTATTGGTCAGCATACGTTCATAACCCGAAGTAGGGCACCACAAGGATTTGACTAGATCTAGCCTATCTGATTTTTTATTGAATGTGTGTTCAATCAGTAAAGCTTTGTATAGAACCATTTTGGGAAATGAATCATGAAAATAACTATGTACTTAATTCAAATTGATTACAGTATAAAGACAAGTATTATCATGCACACAAAAAATGTGTACAATCCAAGATCATCATTTTATTTTTATACACTGATTTGTAAAGAAACTTACATGATTTATATCTTAGTGAACATTTTATGTTAAACATTGATTAAGTTATTTAACTTTCCTCAGATTACTAGATGTTCATCATCAAGCTGTCTCAGATAAAGATATTTGCCTCTCTCTAGTGTTTGAATTTATTGATCAGGATTTAAATTCCTACCTGGAGAGATGCCCTCCTCCCGGATTGGGACCAGACAGAATTAGAGTAAGTAATTTTTGCCAGGAAATTTCAAATCAAGGATGACACAATTAGTTAATGATACAGTCTAAATTTTGTCCCAATTTTAATTAATCATTGAATTTTAGTTTATTGAAGCTATGAGCTTCTTAAACGTGTTAAAGTCTTTGTGGCTATTTTTAAATTATTATTTTGAACTGTATCTTATAGTAGTAGTTTTTTAAACTTCTTTTCATTGTTTTTATGGTCCATATATGTACAGTTTATTTTACTTGTCAGGATCTAATGGTGCAGATGGTGAATGGCATTGACTTCCTTCACAGCAACCGCATAGTGCACAGAGATCTGAAGCCTCAGAATATACTCATCACAAGTGATGGGATTCTCAAACTGGCTGACTTTGGTCTGGCCAGGATCTACTCCTCTGATATGAAGCTGACTTCAGTGGTAGGTTAGGTTTACTGATTTCACATTCCCTTAGGTTTTATCAACCACCCTTTTATCTTAAGCTCAGTATTTGAAACTAACTTCAGTGGAAGGTTTACTGATTTTACATTCACTTAGGTTTTTATGAAACGGACATAAACCTTAAGCTCAGCATTTTTAATAAAATAATTGAATAGAACACAGCCATCACTTGCTAGCATCTCATCTTTTCATTATTGTGCTCATAGAAATTGTTAACACTTATCAAACAAGCTTTTTGATCTACAGCACATTAATTTTTGTACTGCATATTAGGACTTAACCTTTAACCCAGCGTAAGAGTTTTACTCCCAAATAAGTGCCTTAGTGTGTATTTATTCATTGACAATCTCAAAATGATTTCAGGTTGTTACACTGTGGTACAGAGCACCTGAAGTTTTGTTGACTGGTAAATATTCTACTGCTGTTGACATGTGGAGCTGTGGTTGCATATTTGCTGAGCTTTACCTGAGGCGGCCATTATTCAAAGGTACCTCAGAAGGTGATCAACTTAAAAAGATATTTGAGTAAGTTTTTTTTTACATAATATAACAAGTACCTAACACAATAATACTTCAAAGGACTATAAGTTTTGAAAGCATTTTATGATTCTTAAAAATATAATAATTACATTACGATTATAGCCAATGGTTTGCAACAGGAAGGAAGATATTTAAGATGTTTAGGCTTAAATGAGGCTTAAAGTCTGTTATCAACTGATTTAGTCTTTAATATCGGTCATAATAAATATGATAGGTAAACTTGTAACACCTATGCATAAATATACATTGTATTATAAATTTTCTGTTTTTAAAGTCTAATCATGTGATTACAAATTTAAATGTAGTGTGATTGGACGGCCTGATCTGGCAGAATGGCCAGAAGACGGTGTCCTTACTTGGACCTCATTCAGACCAACTCTACCTCCACCTTTAGACAGTATAATACCAGAGATAGATGGCTTAGCAAAAGATCTTCTAGAGGTAAGTGTTTGCATCATACACAGGGAACCAATGTATAGGGTGCTAATAGTTACGATATTTTGATTAAAATACTTATCACAAGGAGGTTGGATTGTTTAAAATTGTCTTTTTACTTTTTTTAAAAAATATTATAAAGCATTTTTACTTAAATAATTTAAACATTTTAAAACAATAGCAGTAACAATAAGTGACTTTCTATAAGTACAACTAAGATCAGTCACCTAGTTTAGTATAAGTAATTCTGCCAAAGAAACTTGCCCAAGTAAAATATTCACATTAATGCAGTCTTAACAATTTTTTTATTTTACAGAAACTGCTTATTTTCAACCCAGAGCGCAGGATCCATGCTAAATTTGCCTTACACCATAGCTATTTTAGAGATGATTTTGACAGGACTTCAAGTTCACTTTCAGAAAATGATTCAGATGATCGATCCGATACACCTGTCAGCAAGTAAAGGTACATTTTCTCTTAGTTTAAGATTAAAAATATAGCCTATTGCTAACATTAAAAACAGAAAGTTCCTATATTTAGTGGTGAAGTAGTAGTGGCACATTGCATATACAAGATTTGAGTTCAGATCCTAGTGTAATAGGTTTTCATTACATTCCCATTATATAAACTATATGTTGTAGTTGACATAATAACAAGAAAAGGCACGAATCTCAATGCAGGAAACTAGCACACTGGAAACTATCTACTGACAACCTTATTAAACACAAGATAAATATGACATAAATTTACCACTCATAACACCCTGACAAAACACTATGATTAAAATTTGATATGATCTTAAATACCTCTACAACTGACAACACTGATTGGCAAAATGTGACAAAGTGAAAACAATTTAACTATTTACTGAACTTGTCAAATAAAACAAGGCAATGAGTACATGACATTAACTTATTCCTACCCATTCACCACAGGTCCTGGACCAGCTTATTTCCTTTTAGCTTGACAAAAATTGAACAAGTCTTAGTTATTTGACTTTTATATTTTGTTACCCCCAGATAAAGCTACCATGAGATTAGATTTAAAACATATCAAAATCCAGCAAGAACTAGCCACAAGCCTATAACTAGCCTATGGAGATTATTGGTAAACTGGCCATTTATCTTTGGCAAGGTTTCAGTTTAAATGATTAACGGAAAATATTTGTTCCATTATAACATAAATTGTTTTTAAATATTTTACTGCTAGAAACTTCCAAAATATTTATACATTATAGCCCTATAGTTTGTACTGATAACATTTTTGTGACAAAACAAAAATATCCAAGGTTTAGTACACAGTAATGACAAGCTCCAATGAAGGCTTTGGTCATTGGTTAATTTTTTTTCTTTACACATCAGCAACAACTACCTGTTTATTCATTTTAGTTTTTCCAATAAGTGAAAATTCTAAAGCTTAGTATAGACCATTGGCCTTGCTAGCGTTTTTAGTGTCCATGACCGTACATTGTAAAAACTGATTATTCTTGTTTAGGATTTGTTAAAAAAATTTTTAGGGGAAATACATAACAGTCTTTGAAAGAAAAAAATGGCGAAGGGTCCTTGAGCAAAATTTTATGAAGCAGATATAAAAAGTTTGTTTTTTATGTTGATGCTTTGTCTGGCTAAAAAATTTAGCATAAAATCATAATGAATCTCTTGAACAAACTTGTGTTAAGTAGGTTTGTTTTCATCATCATTAGAATAACTATGTAGGTAATTTTTTTTTAAATATTTACCAAGGATATGTTCACTTAAATAAATTCTCCTAGCTTTTAGCTACTTTTAGAACTGATGTAACTAGATTATTTTGCATTGCAAAAAATGTTGTTGTAAAAAGTATATTATTATTATATCAATGTATTTTAAGTCCAATAGTATTTCAATGTTAAACAGTACTGAAACCAAGGATGTTGTAAAGATGAGGGAATGTGGTTCCCTATAAGCTCAGTGTATCATGTTTGTTTATGGAATACAATGGCTCAATAGAAAAACATGCAAACACTAACCAGTATTTGACATCAAATATCCATCGAGATGATGGTAAAAGATTTTAGAGACTCTGCTCTAATTCCTTAGCTTCAGACATAGATTTGAATTTCCTATTTGGTACACTTTTCTTAAATTGTAATGTAAACTAGTTATTGTGAGAAAGTTGTAGAGAAGTCGTTTTTGTGGTAAACTATCTTGCTTACATGTTTAAGTGCTAGTAGTATAAATGATATACAAGTTGATATTAAAATACCATTTTGTTGTTTATTTTACAATTAGAATAAAATAAATTAAAGGATTGATAGATGATTTAGAGGTGTATTAAACACATTATTATGGTTTTTATTATTATAACTAGAATAAGATCAAATACAGGACTAATGTTTTATTAGAGGTGTATTTGATATTAGTTTTTATAGCATAAAAGTAATAAAAAAAACATTCTGTCAATGAGAAACTTACTCTTCCCTTATATTATCCCCAAAGATCACTGATGTTTGTTAGGTACTTAATTGTGCTGGGACAGAGTTCTTAAGAAAAGTTTCTACTTAACTCCTAGTTGAAGAGTTACCCAGTGAAATATAACATGTATTTGCTGATGTTAGTGTATGCCTCCTGGTTTATCTGGCCCCTATAGTATTTTGTACATTACTTATTGAATGCTTCCTAGTGGCGACAATGTTTCTTCCATTGAATGTGTACTTGCTTTTATTAGTGTCCTGGCATCTGACTAAATGGTGGTGTCAGGGTGGAGATGATGCCTGCTTACTTTATTATATTACTTTACAACAATTTACAAACATGCACAAACTTTGAGGCGGTAAATCTAATACAAGGTAATGGTGTTGAATGATCGAAATAGTAATGCCTTGTGTGATAAGACAGAGTTCCCAATATGGTATTTTAAAATTTGAAAGTATTATTGTAAAAATTGTCCTGTCTGTTTATTCATCAACTTTAAAGCAATTATGTACAATTATAATCATCCTTTTGACTATTCTAAAGCTCTTTCAAATGTTATTGTAAATATTTTTCCTATCATATTTGTTAATTTCCATTGAAAGTACTTTTAAATTTCATTTTTTTTTAAACTTGGTAGACTAGAAATAAATAATGTAACATGTATTATTTCTGTTGGTTGGATGTTAAAAAACTTTTCAGCACTTGTGTAAGCATTTTTTATCAATTTTATTCAACAACCTCCTATTCAGCTCCTTGCTTGTTTTTGACCAGTTCCTACATTTTTCTACAATGTTGGAATAAGGCAGACATCTTTGTCTCACTGAGCATTTTTACAGATCTGAAATATTTTTTTCTATGGCTAATGAAAATATAACAATGTAATTTTTAAAATTGCATAAATGCAAGTTTTATAATAATTATAAACATATTTTTCAAAACTTGCATTAAATGCTACTCTTTCTGTAATATTTTATGGTAAACTTTTACACTACAGATGATCTTTTCCTGTATTGGACTTAATGTTAATAAGTTTTATCTTGCCATTTATTTTGTTGCTAGTCTGTTTAGAAGCGAAAAAGGAATAAATACACATTCAAATGGTATTTCTAGTAGAAATAAAAAAAAACCTCATACTCTTTCATGCTGGATTATGTACTTGTGGAAAGTTTAGGGATGCCAGCTTATAAAAGTCTCAATACACATTTTTTTTGTTATATACTAACTTTAACATTACAAAGTTAATAAATTGCTCTCTTTTGTGGGGCATGCAAGACTAGCTAATTACATTGCTTACTTATTTTTTGTAGATATTTCATTTAATGCAGATTTCTGGGGGGGAGGGTACATAAAATCTGTGGAAAGTACAGAGTTCTTACACCACCTGACAATTGATTTTTTTTTTGGTCAGGTTTTAGTTTCTGCATCTGGTATCTTTTGAATGTGGTTTATAGACTGTATTGTAACACTGGTGACTGCTCATGGTTTGAGCCTGTCATAACTTGTGCTGTTCTAGTACTGTTGTTTGTCATATACTTATGTAACTTTTTTTTTCATAGGTCTGCTAGTCATTGCAGCCTGTGAATTGAGTGACATACTTTTTACTTCAATTAGTTAAAAATTTGTTGTCAGTATATTAAGGGAACAATTACTATAAAACAGTGAATCGGGCATTTTTTTTAGTATTCTGTGGAGCTTTTAGAAACTTTTGAATGTGTCAACAGGGTCCAAATGTTACCACTTGAATCAAATTTTTATTTTCTACCGTCCAATGGACACATTCCATTCCTAGCCCTATATGTATATGTAGGTTTATATTCCACATCATGTTTCACATGGGACCATTTTGTTATTTGTTAAATGGAGACATAAAAACCAAAATGTAACCACTTAGTAGTATAACAAACTTGCAGTAAATGTACGAGTGGTTCAAATTTATTTTCTTTGCTTCTGGCATGAATATTATTTGATGTTATATTGAATTCATTTTGTAACAAATAAATGTACCACACAAAAGCTAATGTCTTAATGTAAGTTTTACTTATTGTATGTAAACTACTAAAAAGTACCCAAAAATCTAATTTTAGTGCATTGATTGTTCATAATAGTTATTTAAAAATATTTGAACTACTTTTTAAAAAATTAAACAACTTCCAGGGCTGACTTTTGATACTGTGAATGAAGAAGTCAAATTTGTCTGTATATAAAGTAGGGTGTTATAAGCGCAATTGGGGTCGGCGTGGTCGAGTCGGTAAAGCTCATGATTGCTAAACCGAAAAGTCTCGAGTTCGAGCCCTCGGGCAGATGAGGCTCGTTAGCTGGGGACAGCCACTCTTCTAGGAGAGACAACTCCAAAATTAAACAACTGCTGCCTTGTAGTTTGTTCTTGTTTGGACAAAGGCTATGAAAGCAAATCCAAAAAGAAAAGCAGGCTGAAATCGGAGTCAGTGGCCTCAATGGCGCATAACCAGTTGACAAGTAACGCTTAATTGTGTTGGAGGCGTGGTCGAGTCGGCAAAAAGCTCATGGTTGATAAATTTGAACAAAGTCTCGAGTTCAAACCCACTGGCAGATAAATCTCGATCCCCTTCAACACTAATAATTAAGAACGAAGAAGAAGAAGATAAGCACAATTGCCTACTTTCCTTAACTAAGACCAGCTACATGTGGCTCAGCCATACCATCTCTCTTAATTACAGTAATAATAAAGATTGGCTTGGAGCTTCACTTTACACCTTTCTAATGGACTGGTTCATAGACTGTTAAAATAAAACTAAATGGTAAAAAATTCCATGTAAACAAGGGAAAAAAATTAGTGCTAGCAAAAGGATAACACAACTTTGTAAATGGGCATTGAGTCACTGAGCTCTTACTTGAAGAGACAGAACTGTTATCAGCTAGAGTATTTGGCCTCCTAAATAAGATTTTTCCTGATCTACACGGTAGCTTATAACGTTCAACTTTATGGGGCTGAGACTTGGAGGATGACAAAGCACCAATGATTAAGTCCAGACAGCTGCCTCAAGACAAATACTCAGGATTCACTGGCCCTACACCATTAGCAATGCACTCTAATGGGACAACTTTCCACTGATGAAGAAATTAGGGCACACTGCGCAGACCCCAAGGCAGGGTTTGAGCTGGAACCCACAGGAAAAGGTCGACAAAGTAACAACTGACGATCGGACATTGAAGTTGAAACTACAAAGAATGGCTATACCTGGACTCAGGCTGAGAAAATTAAAATGTGACAGGACAAAAGACTTTGAGATCTTTGGTTGGCTGCCCACACCCCAGCAGGTGATGATGAAGACTCACACACTACACCTACCAAATTGCTCCACTTTAATATGGACCGTGACAAAATGGCTATTACATTAGACAGAAGCCTCCATTATTTATATCTGTTACAAATAGACCCCATCAAAAAGACTACATTAAACCAGTTCAGATTAGGGTTAGGGAGATGTAGCAGAAGTGCACAATATTTGAAAATACTGAACATAAAATATTCTGTCATCAAAGAGTTGCAGTTGCTTGAAGTGAAGACAACTGACACATTGTTCTGTAATGAACAACATTAGACAGGAAAGCTGCATCATAAAAGACAAGGTGTGTCTTCAAATACTTTTTAAAAAAACAGAAACCTGAGTGATCTGTAAACATTGCATGCTTTTATTGTATATAAGTTGTTAAAAATGAACTGAAGGAAGAATTGAAGAGTGCCCTTTAAAAATAGCTGTTCTAGATCCAGCTAATAAAAAAAAATCACAGAAACTACAAATAAAACTGACCAAGATTAGTAGCAGTCTCTTCAGTGAAATAAGGGTCATCCATAAAATCACTATTGACAAAATTTACCTTCTTCCACCTCTATTGTCAAAATGACTTCAATAACCCCCCCCCCCCCCTCCTGAGTTTTTTGTTTTTAAAACATGGATTTCTTTCTAAATATTTCTCAGCTTGGTCACCATTGGATATCTATTAATCATGAAAAAAAAATGGGCTGAAAAGCCTATCCTATATTTAAGACACCAATAGCAAAGAAGAAAAAATTTATTTTAATTCTACTATGAGTCAAATATATAGATCTAGTAATGAATTGTTATAAACTTGTTGGTCACAATTACTTCATTAATTTAAGAGGAACAAAAAGATCAGGTTCCACCGAGATTTGAACTCGGATCGCTGGATTCAGAGTCCAGAGTGCTAACCATTACACCATGGAACCACTTGCGATCTAGCTGGAAAAATAAAAAGACATTTACGAATCAAATTATAAGCTTTTTCTTTACTACGTCAAAAGATTTGTGACATGGGATGTCAACAAATCTAGCTGAACTGTAATATTAAAACTAAAGCTTAAGCGTTAGATTCTAAATGATTCTTGTTATTAAGGCATTTCGTATTATGTTAGTTGTTTGTAGTTCTAAATCTTATCTACATCTAGAAATCTAAATAAATATCAAGTCTAGTATAGAAAATCTAGGTCATGTTAGAGTTATCGTTCGTTAAAAAAAACGAAGTGTCTACTCGGAATAAGATTTTTCGGCAAAAGATAGTTCTGCGCATGCGCAGTGACCTATGGCTAGGGTTAGGGCTAGAATGAGGGTTAGGGGTAGGATTAGGGATAGGGTTAGGGATAGGATTAGGGATAGGATTAGGGTTAGGGATAGGATTAGGGCTAGGGTTAGGGTTAGGATTAGGGATGGGATTAGGGATAGGGTTAAGGATAGGATTAGGGTTGGTATTAGGGTTCTGCGGTTGTAAACACACGCATGCGCAGTACCATCGAAAACATCGCCGCTAAGTCGTAGTTTCTCTCCATTGCGCATGCGTATCGCATGCGTATCTTACTCCGACTAGAATCGGCCTAAAAAAAATCTTATATAATAAAGGAAAAATGTCGTTGTTATATAAGAATTATATAATATTAAAATTATGGTTTTCAGACCAGGCAATGTTCACTGAAGACTAATTGTATTGTAACTAGATCTAGATTCCATACTATAATAGTGAACTAAAGGAATATTTTATTATTTATTTGGTCTTTGTAAGATTGATTAGTAGTAGTAGTAGGCTAAGTCGTAAGTTTAAAGTTTTATTTTATTAGCTTCAATCATCATAAAGCTTGCCCTTTGCTTAGCAGACTTCAGCTTACATTGGCTTACAAGTAAGCAATAGACTAGTTTAGTAGTTATAGCCTAAGTTTAGTGACTATTCTAGAATAGTAATAAGTATTAAATAAGCCAAGTTGCAGTTACAACCCTGTCTCTTACAATAAATAAATAATTAAATAGATCTAGATCTAGCCTACTAGAATCTTTTACTAGACTAGATCTTGATCTAACTACTAACAGTAACAAGTAACTAACAACTATAACTAACTAGATCTACATTTAACAACTAGAGTCTAGATCTAGATCTAGAAATCTAGATCACTACACTAAACTACACTTGGCCTAGGGCCAGTGGCGTCGCTAGGCCGAGTGTCACCCGGTGCGGCACCTCGGATCATGGTGTCAACCCCCTCCCCTTAATCTACAAAAGAAAGTAAAGGCTATTAGGATAAGGCCCTATACTATACCTATATAAAAAAATATATATATACAGAGGCGTAGCGACCCTTCCCGGGGACAAACTTTCGATTTGCACCCCCCCCTTCGAACTTTTCATTTGCCCCCCCCCCCCCCCACGAACTATTCATTTGCACCCCCCCCCCCCTCAAAGCTTTGATTTGCACCCCCCCCCCCCTCAAACTGTCAATTTGTTTTTCCAGCCCTTATTTGCGCCCCCCTAAGGGCGGCACCTGGGGACAAATGTCCCCCCGCCCCCCTCATATATATATATATATATATATATATATATATATATATATATATATATATATATATATATATGTATATATATATATATATATGTATATATATATATATATATATATATATATATATATATACGTGTGTTTATGTGTACTATAATATATAACTAGTTACAGTCAGTGTAACCCTCAGGGGCGTAGCGAGGGGGGGCGGGGGGTGCGGACCGCACCGGGTGACACCATTTAGGGGGTGACACCAAGGCAAAAAATAGCAAAATATATAGAGAAAAAAACTTGAGGGGGGGTGCAAATCGAAAACTTGAGGGGGGATGCAAATCGAAAGTTTGAGGGGGGGGGGGGGTGCAATTCAAAAGTTTGAGGGGGGGTGCAAATAGAAAACTTGAATCGACTTGAAGGGTCGCTACGCCTCTGGGGGGTGACACCACTGGTAACCCTCCCTACCATTTTATCAAATGGCGTCAATCTGTGCACTCATTATTTAAATCCATCTATAATTCAAGTAGAAAAAAACATCCTTTTCATAGTAACGTATAAGATATGGTCTCACCCTACCCAGTCATCTATTGAAAATATAAAAGTATTCAACTATACTATTCAACTTAACTTTTTTCCTCTGAAAATTTTGCAGTTGATGTCACCCCCCCCCCCCCCTTCTCAATTTGTACCATCTATTTGTACTTAAAGTAATTTTTTGAACTGGTAATTTTATGTCCAATATTTTAAAAAATAATTAGGAGTATCATTCATTAAATTTTACAATGTGGGGCTCAGTGTTGCACTTGATTACTAACAAAAGGTTGCAAGGTTGATTGAGGCTTCAATATTTAGGGCCCTGGCCAGTCCCTGAATTCAAGTTTGGATATGTAAAGGCAACTGGGTATAGAGTTGATTGTAGTAAGAAATGTCCCAGGAAAAAAGCACAGGAAAAAAAAGAAAAAAGTCACAGGAAAAAAGTCACAAATGTGTATTTGCATGGAATTTGTTAATGCTTTTATGTATTAAATATTCAGAAAGTGTAAATCAGCTTATGATTAATTAAATGTAATGTAGTGTGCGTAGGTTGTATACTTATAGTAATAACATTAAAATATTTATTATGAATAATGTAGGTTTTAATTCTATTATACTTAATAGAATAGGATAGAATGTATCAACCTTCTCGGTTTTCATCATGTGTTCTATATACTAACTTTTTAAATTAAGGAGAAATTGCATAAATACATAGTTAATTTTACTTGCTGCCACGCAATTTATTGCAAAAATAGTTTTACCACTTGCTGTACTGCCCACATTTATCATGATCATTACATAACACAGCATAGGATCAAAACAGAAAGCTGACAAGGTAAAAAAAATGTATCTTGTCGGCTTTCTAAAAATGTTGCCATTGACGTAAAACGTCAACAACACCCAATATGGATGGACAAAGCCGACTGAGGAGAAGCCGATCAAAGAATAGCCAATGGGAAAAAACATGCAAAACACAATGATGTGCCTAAATTTTGTTTGTAATTAATTTTTCTACTGTGTATTTAACTAAATATGTAACAAAAGTTTAAGTTGCTATATGTAAATTATGTTATAGCAACCATAAGGTTTTTATTTTATGGTTTCTAAATATCCTACCAAAAAAACACAGCCCACAGCAAATTAAATAAACACCCAAAATTTTACAATTCTCAACAATTAATTGAAAATATTTCTTAAAAGATTTTAGTGACTTTTTTCCGATAAAATTTTTCCTTAGTGACTTTTGTTTGTGTTTTTTTCCTGTGACTTTTTCCGTTCACCATAGAATCGACCTCAAATGCCAATGTCACAGAAACAGGTAACCTCTAGTTCATCTGTGAAAGTGTAATTTACAAATTATGCAATATTGTTTCATGCGTTTTTATTTTAACTTTGTATATTCAATAAATCATGTCAGCTTGTGTAATTTTTGTGCCAGAAATTTTAATTCTCTCTGCCATAGAGGTCATTCATGCTAATGCACTGTGCACATTAAATTATAGATAAGATACCAGACAGTAGGTCAAACCTGATTTATCAGGTTAAGATAACAACAGTTGTCTAAATCTTCAATTATTTTTTTTTGCACAAGTGGTATTTGTTAACTGTGTAATAGTATTAGTTACATTAGGCTTATTTGAAACTAAATATTGGAAAAAATCATAAAAATCAATATTTAAAATACTCTTGAATCTATCTTAATATCTTGTTCTATTATCAATTTATTAAAAATGATTTTTCATTCTATCTTAGGTAAAACTTGTGTTCCACTAATGTTTCACTTGCAAAAATGTTATTTTAAAAGATTGTGTATTGATTGTCTTTGTTTTTAGGGTTATGTCAAAGGTGGTAACAAAGCTATTGTTTGTAAACAATTTCATCTGTTGGCAAAGTTTTGCTTCATTGTATCATATGGGAGAAATGACTTCTAAAACAGTTATGATTTCTCAAGATTATGCTTTGCCAGGTAACTTGTCTCATTTGCAAATTTTTTAAAAATTTGTCATTTTGTCTTCATTTGAAATCCAGCATCGACCATTTTTCTTTTACTTTTTGTTTATATTATTATGTTAATGCCATTTTTGTTGTTTGTTATAATTCTTGAAAACAGTGAGAAAACAATGAATCCTTATAATCTTACATACATACAACCATAACAGCAATCAGTGGCCTAGAGATTGATTCAGCACTTTCTTTTTTAACTTGAACAATTATTTCCTAAACCAAAAATCTACATCTTAAATTAAAGATCTTCTAACTTAAATCTCCACCCATAAGTAAAAATTTAAAATTGCTTGATCTTATGCTAAATTTATTTTCTAATCAGGGAGAGCAGAGAAAATTAAAGTAAATGTGAAACACACAGTCCTAGGAAATCCTACAGTTCTACCCTTTCCTGATCATACTGAAACAGCCATCTTTGGTAATTCTTTATTCATAGAAAGAATATTACATTTTTAAATTATACTTGAGAAGTGCCATCCATAAAGGACATCACACTTTTTTTAATCCCACCCCGCCTCCCCATCATCACATAAAGCCAAACACCCCCCTTCCCCCTCACTGACTTTCTCACCTCACAATTGCAATTTATGTTTAAAATATGTAAGGGGTCATCCATAAATGACGTCACACTCAGAGGGGGGATAGGATGTTTGTAATTTTGTGACCATGTGTGATGAGGGGGAGGGGGGTTCAGATGGTGTGATGTCACACTTTTGCATTATAAAAAGCCAAGGTTATTTCGGTTTTGGAAAACTGTTTTAATACATTGTAATAGTAATTGATTAAAATACTCTATGTTGACAGAGTTGAGACAAGATTTTGGAAAAATATCAATGTTGTAAGAAAAATTCAACTAAAATTTTCAGGGGTGTTGTAGGCTGAGGCGTGACATCATTTTAAGGGGGGGGGGGAGAGTCTGGCTTTTTGTGACGATGTGGGGGAGGTAAAAATTGTCAGCGTGACGTCATTTATGGATGCCCCTTAAATAATTTAACAAGTTCAGTCAACATTGTCAAAATAGCGACAAAATCTCAGTTTCTTTTTAAAATGTGTTTACACACGTTCATCACTTTCCCCACTCCTCCCAGTTCATCACATGTCTAATTCCCTCCCCTCCCTCTCCCCCTTCGAGGCATGTGAAGTCATTATGGATGACCCCTCAACACCCATATTAGTGTATTTAACTTCATTAAAGTCATGTGTCTTTCAGTAAAATATATATATAAATAATTTTTGAATATCAGGTTTGGGATGTTTTTGGGGAGCAGAGCGTTTATTCTGGAAGCAAAAGGGAGTCTATTCTACTCAGGTTTGTGTTTTCAAAATTAAATTACAATGATTTCTGTTTAATTTGTAACATTTGTGAATCTTCTATTATATTTTTAGCATTTATTTGCAGTAAAACAAACCTTTCAGAAATATTGTATAGGCCTATAACAAAAGGAGTAGACTGAGATTTTTGTATTTTATGGTCGCACCTTGGTTTTTCAGCTGAACAATTGATAATTTTCAGGTGGGTTATTCTGGGGGTTTTACTGTCAACCCAACATATGAGGAAGTCTGCACCGGAAAGACAGGTCACACAGAAGTTGTGAGAGTTGTCTTTGAGCCTAACAAGATAACCTTTGCTGATTTGCTGAAGGTAACAAGCTGTTTATTTTTAGCCAATTTGGCACATCATTATCATTTTATTCCCATTGTGAAATTATTAAAATTAATTATTGGGGATGTGGTGGATCTGTGCTGCTTATTTGATGGCTAAAGAATAATATGAGCTAAGTAGTAATTAGTAATTTATAAAAATTCATCAGTAACTAGAATTCCCTTATATGAACTTGATTAATTAAACTTTATCAAGTAAAAGAATTTGGCCAAATTCTATGATTAAAAATCTATTCATTAATGTTATTAAAATGTTAACTTTTGGCAAAAGCTTTGAGTACTTGCAACTAATGTGGTCTAATTTTTTGGTACCTCTTTAGTAGTCTTGTTTTCATCTCTTTGCTAAATGTTCAAAATCTTTTAGGCATTTTGGGAGAACCACAACCCTACCCAGGGCTATCGTCAAGGCAACGATGTTGGCACGCAGTACCGCTCAGCCATCTACACCCTGACTGAAGCACAAAAAACTCAGGCCGAAAAATCAAGAGATGAATATCAAGCAGAGCTGACCAAAGCTGGCTTTGGACAGATCACAACGGAAATACTTCCTGCCAAAGAATTTTTTTATGCCGAGGATTACCATCAGCAGTATTTAGACAAAAACAAGAATGGTTACTGTGGTCTTGGGGGAACAGGTGTCTCTTGCCCTAGAGGCTTGAAGAGAGATGAACACTAATGTATTAAATGTTATTTATTAAAAACAAGAATGGTTACTGTGGTCTTGGGGGAACAGGTGTCTCTTGCCCTAGAGGCTTGAAGAGAGATGAACACTAATGTATTAAATGTTATATAAGTCCAGTGATTTTTGATCATTTTTTATCTAATGTTACTAATCAGAGTTGACTGGATATTTATGCAATTTTTTTAAATTTGAGAGTAAACAGTAAAATATTTTGTTATTGTTATTAACTCTTAATAGCTTCTATTATGAAGTAGCCTACAGTTTTTTCTATTGTCTTTCATTTGGATTCTTCAAGAGTAGGAGCAGCATGCTGAAGTTTAGTTTAGCAATGGATCCTTAATTATTTTTAAAAAATTGTAATGTATTTTTTAGCATTGGTCCATTATCAAAAATTATATCAGATTAAAAAAACTAAAATGTTGATGAACAGGTCTCTATAATAAACACCTGATTATTTTCAAATAAAGTAGAAGATAATTTTTTAAAATTACTATTATGAACTTTCCATTTTAATGTATCTGAATGTCTCAGTGACACAGCAAGCTGCATACATATTTATTAAACAAATATGGCCCACCATGTCTTATGCCCCTCTTGGATAAATTTTTAGGCACTTGTTTTGTAACTGTGATTATTAAAATAACAGATTTGTTGGAATGTTGAAAGAAAAGAGAACATGGTTGATTCTACATAAAAGCCAAGTATTTACTAGTTATTGAGTATCATTATTACTGATTTATGAAATAACTGGTACACTTTGACTTTAATAAATCTAAAATATATATTATTGTATATAGACTCAGAACTATCGAGTTAACACCTCTAGGTCTAAGTAAGTATCTTAGTTTATGTTTGTTTTCTCTGGATATAATTTCTGTGTTGCTGTTGGATGTAAGAAGGCAAATGTACATAGCAACATTATTATGCCACTAATTTTCTGTATTGTAGTATGTCATTGACACTGAGATAAGTCCAAATTACAACTTTTGATTGATTTATGGTGGGATATTTTAACCAGGTTATGGCAAGGATAACCATAAACCAATTGTGCTGTGCTTGCCCTACACAAGTAGTTTTATCTTTTTTTTAAAATTGATTTTTATATCAATGAAAATGTATATTGTTTATAAATAAAATCTTACATTTATTTAATGTCTGATTTTTAAATCATACACTTGAGTTTCTGGTTTTTAGAAAGCAAGTATTCAGCCAAGTGATGCTGGGTTTCTATGATCATTAGTTTGATTAAAAAGTTACTAATTCTTAGCTGAGTACAGTTGACTTTTGTTTTGCTTAAGTACTTATAGAAAATTAGTTATTGAAAAATGCATAATAAGAAAAAAAATTCTTTTCTTTTATATTTTAAAGTTTCTTTATTCATAGTATTCATTTTGAAAAATAAACATTTCATAAAAACGTTTTATTTATTAAATGTCAACAAAATAAACCAAATCAAACTATTTAGAAAATAACTTCAATTTTGAAATTGACCACAATGGATACTGGTAAATGGTTTTAAAATATAATGATAGTAATTGACAGTAAATCAAGAGCTATGAATTTCATAATAAAAGTAAAATTTCCTTTAGTTTTACTGGATAAAATAGTATTTTAATAAATATAAAAAAAATCAACCCATGATAACTTATTTTTTTTTAAAGCCAATTTGATAGTTCTTAAGTTTTTTAAGAAAATAAAAATGTGACCTCCTAATGTAGGAAGTAGGGGCATGGCTCTTAATAAATTTGTATGTTTTTAAATTGATGACTATATACGCCCTTTTTTTAAATTTCATATAAACCACAATTTTATATGAACAGTATTATACCAACAGATGATGTTAATATTGTTAATGACAATCAAGTTCAAAGAGGCCAAATCAATTTAAAGCCATTCATTATGAACTTTTGAACATCTCTGTACTGGTATTCTTGCCAACAAAAACTTTCCTCATGTTACCAGTTCCCTTCCTTTTCATGAAATTCCATTTAAAAAATATTCCTTTCTACAATACTTTTTAAAATCATAGACATAATATCCCTGTTACCGTTATTAACATTTCATTGTTTTCTAGAAAACTGAAATAAAATATACTTCTACTTCAAAGGCAAGAAGAAGACCACACTTAAATGAACAGCCTCTGACAGAAAACCTGTTTCAGATAATGGGGATGATTTATATTAAAGAGTGGGGGAAAATGCATATGCCTCTCTATTGTTCGAGGATTTAGTTTTAAGTGATCCATTGTTAACTGGTTTTCTAGCCACTACGTACCTTTAAATTGGATCACCATAAACTCATCCAATTCCTTTTTTTTTCTTTTTGAGAGAAGAAATAGAGAAATGTAAAACAACCAAATAAAGTAGGAGTTTGAATTGTAAGAATCACAGAGAAAATGATGCACAATTGCTTAAAAAGTCTATATATCAAAATGGTCACAAAGTTGTCCATTCTCAATGATTGGAATGTTCTAAACTGCTACAAGCTTTTCTCAAGCTCTATGCAACTCTCCAAGCAATGCAAATAGACAAGTTGATAGCCCAATGACACACCACAAGCTGTAACTAATTTCTGAATGTTTTAAGGAAACAATCCATATAAACAGAAAGTCCTGGATTATTTTAATAAAATCTGAATAAATCTTGTAACTTAATTCTTATGGTTTATATGTATACATCCTTACAACAACACTGGCATAATCAGAAGTCAATCTACTTGAATATTTAAGACTAAAATTAATTTCTATTGGTCACTGTAACCAAAACTAGTCTAAAAATATCTAGTGTAAAAAGGGAAAGACATTAGGCATAGAAAGGCTGATAATCTGATTACACAACTGACTTTAAATAAGCAGCACACTTTGAGCTATATAGAACAAGAGATAAATATGCCTTAATACCCCAAGTGCTATTTCATTTCAGACAGTTACAGTTTCACTTCTATCACTACACAACTGGGAGACCTGCGTCATGCAGGTTACAAGGGAATGAAATTAAAATGTGTTCATTTCTTGTTGGTGCCATATTAATCAATCAAATAATGCCCACTAGCTAATTAGAGAACTATCATATTGAGACACTCTACTATTTGTCATGAGTTAAGCCAACTTGTAAAGAGCAAGATTGTGTGTTAGTCATGCAACAAAAACAGAACAACCTAAGAGTCTAGATAAATTTATTTACATTCACCTTTTGTTGGTACTAGAGGCAAGGAAATTTGAATAAACCAATCATTTGTTTTACTATACACCAGGCATGTCAAGAGAAGAACTAGAGCATACTATCACCTCATCAAATACAACACATACAGATAACATCAGATAACTCTTCTCCTTAACCAGTAAAAGCCTACAGAAGACCTAGATCTGCTAACTAAATTGTGTAAGATAGATTTCTTTATTGGCACAATTTTTGTACAATTATAAATTATGGAATCTTAAAACCTGAATTCAAGCAATTCTTTTGTATACTTAGGTAATACAAAGTTAGATATTCCTACCAATTAGTTAAGATGTAAGTTCATAAATATAATCACTGAATTTATAGTCCATTTTTTTCAACAACACAGTAAAAAAAAAAAATGAAAGCTCAAAGCACGGATAACAAAATAAAATATTTAAAATACATCTCACTGTAATGTATGACCTAACGGAATTTCATAAACTGTTTCACTAAAGCACCGTTGAATACTTTGTTCCTTACTGTCAAGTCTGTATGAGGCTGTTTTATTAACATTCAACTGCAGGGCAGGGCATGTGAAATTACCAGGTGGTACGTCTACTCTGTTATTGAAATCAAGTCTCTCACTTTCAATAAAACTAACAGGTGTAGACATGCAGACAGTTTACATTCTAGTATAGATTTGATAAGTTTTCAGACAACAATCAATATTCCTGAATGGGTTATATTTATCCATCAAGCTTTGAATGGCAACAGAAAATGTATCAAAAGTATCACTATTTTCTGGTTGTACCCGTAAGCATGTCACACACAAGTTCACTGGAAACAATAGCTGGTATCACGTTATTTCATTACAAAAGAACAACTGCAACTTTTTTTAAAAACTATTTGTGTAGTTCTTAATCAAAACAGCAAATGATTTGTATTTTAAATAAATACAACTGTTAAAAAATTCTATTAAAATCAAAACAGGTATTTTTTAGCTTCACTGTCCGTACAAATCAGAAATTTCTACTGCCAAGTAGCATTAAAATGTTTATAGCATTAAGATATTTTTTTCCTGTGAAAAGTTAAGCTGATAACTGCAAACAAGATATGTTGTAAGACAAACCTCACACATACACATCTGTATAACAACGACGACTCAGGGATACAACTGTAGCGTGGCAAATAACTTCATCAAAATTTTGTAAAACTAGCAGAAAGTATTCATCGTTTTGCTTGATGATAGACACTATCATCTAAACTAAACAAGTTTCCATTGTGCTATGACAATTAAACAAAACTCAGTTTGATCTGATGGATAGATACCAGTCGGTTAAGACGTGGGTCAATGATAAATAATGAATGTGTGAGCAATGACCCTACGAAGAACAGAAAATAAAAACACTAATCCAAGTTAGCGGTCATCATGCCAAGTAACTGTAAGTGTCCTTCTGTCCCTCCACTCTTGCCAGATATTCTTTCTCTATTAGAATGTCTATGCATTTCTGTAGACAGAAAATACTCAGAATATAGACAAAACTTTCAAATCCTGGAATGAGAATTCCTTAATTGAAGAGTTTTAAATTTATGTTTTTATTCAAATTTTTCAAGATTTTGATTGCTCTTTTAAAATTGTTTACACTTACTTTTTCAATCCTTGCAAAGATGATATTTACATACAAATTATATAATCCTTAAGTAGATTAAGTACTCAAAAGGCACTTACCTTTATAACAGGTACTCGCGGCTTGAAACGAGATGAAAGCTGGTTGAGGACTTCTATCAATAACTGCTGATGTTTCAGGCTTTTGCGCATCTTCATGATTCTAACTATGGCTGCCTGATTTTTAAAAAAAAAATTTAAATAAAACTTTTAATTTTAACATTAAGACTAGATACATTGAATAAAATGAGATAATATACGAAAAAAATTATTTCTAAGGGAATTAATAATATGAGAAAATAAAAAAAAAAAACAGAAAAAATATTGTAAATAACATTCAATCACATCTATATTTTAATAATATAATAACACATTATCAGCCCAGTATCTACCTGTATTAAGAGCTTGCGGTCTTCTTCAATGTTTTTGTGAGTAGATTCCTGCTCTGCCTTTACTTCAGTTTTCATGGGTACATTAATATTGACCCGAAGCTTTTTACTGTTTAGAAAAATATTTATTTTAATTGAAGCACTTCTTTTATTAAAGCAAAATATCTTAACTAAGTATTAGAAGTAATTTTTTGCTGTTGTCAGTTTAAAATGTCCCTATAGTACCCCTTTAATTAGTACATACTTCTTGTATCCCAGGAAAAGAGACAGAGGTGTCTCGGGTTTAATATCTGCTTCACTAACATTTTCATCTGCTACAAGAAGCTTAGACTTGAGAAGTATCTGTAGCACTTGTAGCAAGATATCCTGAAACACAAACTTCTAATTAGTTCAAACAATCTATGACATAATGAAATCAACAGCAGATAAATATTTTAAAATTAAAACAAGTGAAGTTCAAAGGTAAGGTATTGTTACCATTTTAATGAGAGTAGACTCCTGCAGCTGTTGAACTGAATATGTATCAGCTGAGTTATACTGTAGCAGAACTGCCATTTGAAATGTCGATGCCTGTGATTAACCAAACAAAAAAATTTATACTCTCGATGTCATGTTAACATTTGTCAAACTTACTATCCTAATTAAAAACTTTATTAAAATTTAATTTTTTTAAAATAAAAAGTAGTTATCACAGTTCACTAGTATGACCAGACCTAATTTTACCCCACAAAGAGCTACAATAACTGAAAATAGAAACTCTATAGTTTAGACCTGCAACTTGACTACAATTGTTAACAAAATCCCTAAATAGAAAACCAAACATTTTAGATTATTATATTAGGCATTTTTTATTTTTTAAAAAATGCCAAAGATTAAATCCAATTTATAGATGTATTGTAATTTAACACTGATACATTCAACCAACCTGGAGGGTGTATCTATTTTTAAAGCAGTTTGTAACAACTTCACCCTTTGACATCTGGTACAACCAGTTCAACTTGCGACCGCTGTGTCTACTGTTGTAAAAAGCTGAAAATCTCTGATAGCTCCTTTCCAACTGATGTTGTAAAGTAAAAAAATATTTTTTTTTTCATAATCATCTACTACAGTATGAAAACTCAATAGCATGGTTATGGATGAGGCATAATTAGTAAAAATAATTCTCATTCTTAAGGAGCTGCATTAAAGTAAAGTACAACACTAGGTGTTAGAATAAGATGAAGATTGTTATATATTAAATTTGTTTAGTATGTTCAAAATTATATGGAACATGTTTTTTTATTTTGCTTTTAAATTGATTTAAAAAGGTTCTATAGTTATAATAAATCAATATAAAGAGGAGAGCTTCTATTTAGACTTTAGAGTGGCAGAACAAGAAATACACTGTTTTCTTGATGGACTAATGAAGGATCTCCAAAAGCGTGAGCAGATAAATAAAACTTTATGTTAAATCTTAGTTGAGATTACAATCTTACCTCAACAGGTAAAGTGAATGTACAAGACTGCTGGAAAGGCCAAGACCCTGAACTGAGCACCTGGATACTGAAGTCAACTGCAGAAGTAAAACAAAAATACAGTAAATAATAGCTACAGCAAGGCCAGCAGTACCAGATCAATTGATCACCTTTAATAATGGTGTTTCTATGCTAAACTGTAATGTTATTCCCTTACTGCATAAGGAAATAATTTCACTCAGTTTTGTTGGGTTTATTGTGAAAAATGTCTTAAAGATTAAAACCACGACATTAACTCAAACCCTTGATGTGGGGTATAGCAAAACCAACACTACATAGCTTGAACTTACTATCAGAGGGCTCTTTAGAAGATTCAAGGTGTTTGCGAAAATTCTCATTGAGATCTTTGCTGACTCCAATGTCTTGGAACATTCTCTGCAGCTTGGATGTGTATTCAAAACCACAAGCTTGCTATGTAAATAAAAAGTTAACATTTATTAAGCAACTAAACCTGTTGGAATTAAGTTTTAAGTATTTGAACTGACATTTACAAATCTGTCTATTAATGCGTAGTTGTATGTATGTAATGTTCTATGCACTTCAAGATTAAAGTATTAAATATACAGTAGTAAAACTATACTTTTAAACAGTTAAAAGAAGGAGTAGTTAGAGAAATCACTAACCTTAAGTTTTGAGATCATACTGGCTTCAGCATCATCTGAAGCTGACATGTGACCAACAAGTCTTTTGGCCAGCATTTTACTATAAAATTTTTGGAATACATCTTTGTCTTCAATGTATTTAAACACTACCATCTGCATTGGATGAGAAAAATACAAATTTTATCCCAGGTGTTTATGTAAGATAAACAGACAGCTGACTGTATTTATTAAAGTCTATAACTTACAACTTGGTTCAAAGTATCTTCTAATTCTGCTTCTTCTGGGTTTTTCGAGCTGAAAAATAAGGAAAATAAAAAACGGCTATTTACAGCAAAGACGATTTTAAAATAAAGACAATTGAAAGAAGTGAGTTAGCTCTTCTTGTTGACATTGTAAAGTTTAACTAAAAAATTATTTTACTTTTCTCCCACAGCTAAGGCAATTTTTAAATTTCAATCTTGAGGTTTAGTGTAAAATAAATTTTAAAATTCAACCATATAATCATTGAATATTTGCTAACTATTTTAACTAACCATACTGTTAAGTTAAAATCATTAAGCTCACCTCTTTTTTAATAACAGATCACAGTATCTGGCCAACAGCTCTGGGGACTTGCTTGAGTTGCTTGCTTGTTTGGTCACAAAATTGGAGTTAATGAACTGACCACATGCCTGATTAAACATTTTTACAACAACTATTAATCATCAAATAGTTTTTAAAATAATCGAAGAACATAAATTACTTAAAAATGAGACTGACAAAATTGTAAATATATGATGGTGCATAATATATATCTCAAGAAATGTAACTAAATGATTGGAAAAAAAAAGTTAGAAATACGAACCTTATCAAGAGCAGCAACAAACCCAGCATCATTGGCAAAAGCTGTCATAACCAGGGCATGATATTTCTTATGAACATTTAGTATAGTCTGTACATACACCTTAGGATCCTGAAAAAGAAGTTTAATACTTATATTTGTTCTTTGCAAAATTGTTTTTTTTAAAGCAAAAGTTATAACAGAACACAGAAGGAAGCCTAGTGCTATTACATAGGATGAACCTGAGATAATATAATTTATCATCATTAAGAGAAAAGTTTCAATAATTTATTGTCCTTTTTTTTGCCTTTGCTAATTTTTTACAATATCTTTTTTTAATAATTCTTAAATTAAAATCAGGTGGTTAGCACTAACTGTAAGGAACCTTTGTCTCAAAATTTAAATGCTCAAAAGGACAATTTAAGACCTAATTTTATTTAATGTCTACAGCAACTAGTGATTTTATATAACAAGGTAAACTAACATTTAAGGCAGCCTCTCCACATTTCTCCAGTGCAGAGGCACCTTGATTTAAAATGTGTTTCTCTAAAAGAGACTTGAGTTCATGAAGACCATCTTGAATTCTAGAAACCAGTTGATACATTCTACCAAGATCTGTAGTTAAAAATTTAATCGAAAAATAAAACATCTAGAGAATAACTACTAATTCACATGTAAAAATACTTTCTAAAAATTATTTTTAAAATGATGAGCTCAGAGTACATACAAATATAAATGTACATTTACATTCTACTTTAAAACTCTGGACATGATACCTTCATCTTTGTCAGCATTGAGGAGATTTTGGAATTCACAGTGAAAGTTTTCTAAATGTTTCTGTATTAACACTTTTTCACAAACACGTGCGAGAACATCATAAGTACTCTCATGCAAGTAAGTCTGTACACGTTTTTGCTCTTCCATTAGACGCATTTCTGCCTGTAAGTATGGAAAAATTCATGAAAGTTCTCCTAATTAATTAAATACAATTGAAAATACAAGTCAAATACAAAATACAATGGGCTTGATTGTAAAAGGACTGATACTGTAATCCCAGTTATCAGATTTTTAAAAAAGAATTATGCTGAGGTAAGAAAAAGGGATGAGATGGAAAGTAAAGGTTGTCATCAAGTAGAAAACAAATTTTAACCATAAAGAGATGGATTGATACTTTAATTATTAGATAACTGATTAAAAACATCTGAAAGAAGCAAAGTCAGGAAAAACCTACTTTCTTCATGTACTCAGTCACTGGATTGTGTCTAAGGAACTCGTTGCTTTCTGTAGTGTAAAATCTTTCAGTGTCATTTAGAAATAAGGTTTCGAAATGTTCTTTATAAACAGATAAAGTAGGTCCTTTGGCACTTGGGTCATCCTCATTTAATCCTAGCTCAACTGTGAATCAACACAAAAAAGGAGTTTGATAAATTCACTTAAAATATAAACAAGATTCACTTTACTACTAGTATTAATAAAATTGTATGAGACATGGATTGGATGAAGAATGATACTACTATACAGAAGTTAATTAGCAGGGGTAAGGTTAGTTAGAGCATTAAAGACTTTAAGTTATTTATTGTTTATTTTTTAAAAAAATGTTAAACAGTGTTCCTTGTTAAAGCTAAGAGTACTTTCTTCTTTGTTCTTAATTTTTAGTGTTGGAAGGGATCGAACCTTATCTGCCAAAGGGTTTGAACTCAAAGACTTTTTTTTAATTTATCAAGCATGAGTTTTTTTGCTGACTTGACCATGCCTCCATCACAATTAAGGATACGTGTCAACTGGTTATGCGCCATTGAGGCCTTGACTCAGATTTCAGCCTGCTTTTCTTTTTGGATTTGCTTCCAACCAAGAACAAACTACAAGGCAGCAGTTGTTTGATTTTGGAGTTGTATCTCCTAGAAGAGTGGCTGTCCCCAGCTAATGAGCCTCATCTGCCCGAGGGTTTGAACTCGAGACTTTTCAGTTTAGCAACCATGAGCTTTACCGACTCGACCACGCCGACCACTAGAGTGCTTTCAATAATCAATACAAAAAAGTTGCAGTTGTAGATTTTTAAAAACCTCCTCAATGAAATAAGTATTCAAAAGCAATTTTTAGAAAAACAAATGTCAACATCTTCGAGCTAAGAAACTTACCATAACAACTTATTACTCCACTGACAAGACGTGTGTTGATAGGTTCACCATTTCTTTCCCTTTCTATCAACTTCAAAACAGCATTGGTAACTTGTTTGTTAAGAGGCTTAAACAGATTATCCCTCCATGTGATTAAGGCTAACTGTAAATATATGTTAGACCAGTTATTTTCAAACTTTTAAAACCACATTAAAATAAATGTAACAAAAGTTTTATTAAACTTACTGAATAAATAAAATATATCCCTCTTGAACCCTCATCGCATTCACGACGAACCCAGTGTCTATTGAGGTAGGAGCATATGCCATCTAACACTTTGCTGGAAAATTGATAATCTTCCCACTGGCGAGTGTAAAACTGCAGAACCTGTTCATCTAGAAGATCCTGACCATCCTGGACGAAGCAAATATTTAAAAAAAATTAAAACTAATAATTCATTCAATACCTATGAGTAAGATCACTAAAATTAATGTTCTGGTTCGACTTTAATATAGAGTTGTACGTTTACCTTTAACAAGTTTACTAAATACTGTCTTAGGAGGTCTTTGATCCTTTTGTAGAGCTCATGGCCCACAAATTGTGCTCCTCCACCCTGAGTTCGGTTACGATTGCGAGAGCTTGTACTTCGTTGAGTAGCTGCAGCAGCAGTAGAGGTTCCCTGTTGGTTTTGATTAGCCACACTTTGGACACTAGTGCAGTAATTGTACACATGTCTATTCAAGGTTAAGGTTAAGAATAAATAGTTTAAAAAAACTTCTAGTGACTCATGTTTACATCTGAACAAGTATGGCAATCTTTAAGTCTGAGATAACAGGTCATTATTCGATAACAACGGATAGATAATTAGATTCGGTGAGACTTATTAGTAAAAGAATTTTACTAATGATATGACAGAAACATTGAGATCATTATGCTTTAATTAATGTGTGATGAATTCGTAAAATACATTTTTTTTACAGTTATCTGAGTCATCCACACTTCTTTTCAACCATACACCTGGCTTACTGAAGATTAGTTCAAAAACAAATTCTCCCACATGTTTTTTCAACTAGTGTAATATATGGAAGCTGCATTTTTATTCAGAGTTGAAACTGCTGCAAAGGATACGTGTACAGTTCCATGTATCTGGTTCTTGACATGCTCTGGCGTCTATACACACTTTTAACTCCAGCTTTCAGGTCATCCCAAATCTGGTCTAGTTCTATCTGTCTCAAACCATGTGGGTTGGACCTGGCCGGGCTCATGCTAAGTATCAGATTAAAAGCTAAAAATTAGTAAAAGTTGTCATTTATTCTACATTAAACTAAGTTTTATTTTATGCTATAAAACAGTAAATAATGATATTAAAATATTTTATTATAAGCTAGAACGATTTTACTCTTAGTTTCACCATAAAGATTTTTGTTGTTAGCAAATGTCCACTCAAGTGAGGATAACCATAGTAACAATCAATTTCCCATTTCTCAAAACAAGAGTGTAAGGGGATTTTGTAGCGAATAGTCTAATAACTGTCTCCCTTTCAACTAACTGACTGAACAGGTACCCATTATAGCTGAACAAATGCCCAGATTACCAACTTTGTTCAAAGTTTAATTTAGGAAACATTTACATTCTGTCCCCATTCTATGTTGTAAGGGGGGATATTTGAATACTACACAGATGATTTTTAAGTGCAAAAATGTCACAATGGGTCTAAAATATAAATCTCATTCAAGATAACCTTATCAATCAAAGGCATTATTATCAAAGGTATTACAAATTCTTATAAAAACTAGGTTTGTTTTAACTTTTCTATTCAAAATTTTACAATAAATATTTATTCAATGTATTTTTTCTGAACAGTACAGATTCTGACCTTGGCCCACTGCGGTGACTCCGAGTCACATGTGCCATATTTAGAAAGTGGGCTGTAATTTTGAAAAAAAAAATGGTTACAAATGAATTTATGAAATTTGATGTCTTTGTGATCAATTAATAACTCAAGGTATAAATTCTAACAAATCTATTATAAACTTTAAAAAAAAAGATACCACTTCTACAAGAATAGAAATGTAATACTTATAAGAAGCTATTTTTAATACTGATTGCTTAAGACTTACTGAAACTAGTCCAATAATAGAAACAACTTAATTTTAGTACTACTGATAGTCATGTAACACATTTAAATTATAATACTAATATAAACTTAATGTCTTTGTTTAAGCTATTACTGGTGAAAGTTATATTCACACTAATTGAAGATTTTTTTTTAAATTAGTGTTATTCTAAGACTTGATATATTTAAAATAGATTAATTATGAGGGTCTACTGACTATAATTACATTTCAATTAGGGCCTACCTTTTATATGTTAGCTTGAATAAAATGCTCCTTTAAACATTCACTTTAACAATAGAATTAATAAGTGTGTATCTGGATAATCTGTCAATTCACTCAACCATTTTTCTTAGAACAAAATAAAGTTCTCTAAGAAAAATACTGACAGAAGAGTATCCATCCTGAAAGTAGATACACAAATATTTTTAAACTCTGAAGAATAAATTAGTTTTAATTATTATAATGTAAATCACCACTGCAACAGAGTGATTGAGATTCTTGATACATACTGATATAGCCATGGTTATTAATCAAAACAAAGTAAATGTTCATTTTACCAAATAAGAAGAGTCATGTTGAAATATAATCTTTAATCTAAAACCTTAAAACATAAAAGACAAATGTATGTTTCCATTTAGCAGCTATTGTTTTATAAATAAACAGCCAACTGAAGTAGATATATAAATTTTAGAATTAAAACCACACCCCTTTTTCAAGAAATATATTTGACTGGCATTGTAATTAGAAAATATGCAGGTGATACCAATAATAATGTAACTCACAATTTTGTTGGTTACTTTCATCAATATTATATATTATAATAGACCTAAATAAATAGTGTTTATTTAATGTTTTATTTAATGTTTCAAGCGTAAAGAAAATGATTAAATCTTTATTTAAAACTTAGTTCATTAATAAGTAAAAAAAAACGGTGTTACCAATGAAAAAACTGACTATGCAAAGTAAATTACAATAAAGTGAAGTGCACTTTCAGATGGCCCATAATATTTAATATTTACTTTCCCTGACTTAAGTCAGGTACCAATTAGAGCTGAGTTGACTCTGATATGCCATAGCAGAGTCCAACCAGTTGAGTGAGCCAATGAACAGAACCTATGACTTCGAGGTTAAAAACCATGCAATGGACTGTAAATGTGTAATGGCAAAGTACCATATAATGCTATTCAAAGAACAACAGGTCATGGTTCAGCAGGTCTTTTCATAAATTAATGAGTATTTTTTGTGGTAAAGTTTAAAATGAGAGAAACAGGAGCAAGGCATTGTGTGTTATGTGATACCTATCTTCTGTTAATAAAGGTTTGGATTGGGTATTAGATCTAGTAGTGTAACATTTTGGCTTAAGTCTGAAAACTAGTGTTGGTGTTAGATTCCAGTTAAGCTAGTGAATTACAAGCATGTTACTTTATTATGTTCCTACTAGCAATAAAATAATGCTTCAACAAAGTAGTGATTCACAGTAGTGTGTACAGTATCAAGTACACCTATCTGAAATAAAATCACTAAATGCAGCTATGTAGTGCCTAAATGTAATTTTTTCTTTACATATATGCCTAAATACTTCAGTAAAAATCAAAAGGAGCAGACCTCTGGACTCTGGACACAGTAAATCTTTGCTGCAAAAAGCCTACCAACAGTAGAGAATCTATTTGTTTATTAAAAATACTAAAATAGTTAGGCCTAATTAATTAACCCTTGGCTTGGGGCATTTTTAAAATTAGACCTATTTGACATTTGTGTCTTACCCTAGTTGGTTGTATTCAAACCTTGAGTTTTAGTAAGATGTCTAATAAAAGTACATGTTAAATGTGTTGGGCTTTGGCAAATGATGGCAATATTCACATAATCAGTGAATGAATAGAACTTTACGCTCCTCAATGTTTATCGTTGAATTTCTTTAGGCTATTAAATTAAGTTGTTATTAATTTAAGTTTTTACTAAGTAATTATTGTTCAGTTATAGGCTAGGGCCTATATGTTATTATTAAGCTTTGGTGCAAGTGAAGCCTAATCTAGTTAGGACCCAAGGCGCTCAGTGACAAGTAAGTCAAGAGCTTGGTCTGTGAGACTTTGAGACTACCAGACCACTGTCCTTGTCTGGTCAACAAAAATCTAGATCTAGCTAGATCTAGATCTAGTACCAAGAATCTGGATCTTGATTTCTAGGACCTGTCTTTAGCCTAGTACTAGATTCTAGTATACGTCAGCCAGACTAATTCTAGTAGAGTTGTAATATATATAGATCTATACAAGATAGATTAAGATCTAGATTTTTAATAAAAATAAAAAGGTTACAAAAATACAAATACAAAACTCATCGTCACCAAGTGAAGCTAGGCAGAAGCTGGGAGACGCAGTTAACTGTGAGTTACAGACAAAAAGAACCGTTTTTTAACCTATATTTTCGAAAGGCATAGGTCTATCAATTAACTGTATAAGATTATTTAAATATATGCCCGTTTTTGAAAAGTTAACAAAAGTGAAACTGAAAAATCACTTTAACCACCTTCGACTAAACAAACGAAGAAAAAATTTTGTAGTCAAAAAGTTCTGGTTCTTGTGTAAATCTCTGAGGGGGCGCTAGTAACAGGATCTTTATTTTAGAAGTCGAAATAAAAAGTGCAACTAAAAAAGATCAGGAAATATGCATTTCATTTGTTAGACTAAATCTGATCTTAATGCTGTATAGAAGATCTAGAAAAAAAAATTTATTGTCTTGAAAAATGAGTAAATAATAATCAACGACTATTATAGTTAAAAATCATAGACCAATATAAATAAATGTCTACACTGAAGTCATCTACACTTTTATCTAGATCCATAACTACTATTAACTACGAAAAGAAAAGCATCATTAAGTCCTAGTCATAAGAAGTAGAAGATAGGCCTAGATCTACATGAGTGGCAAAAAAAATTCATGAAAAGTTCCTTCTCTCCGTCCTCCCCTATCTCCATCGAAGATAGATCGAATACCACCCTCAACAACTCCAGTCAGCTCCCTTGTCCTACACGTTTGTACACATTTTGTACATATTTGCCTGCCGCTGACACCCCCCCCCCCCCCATACACACACACTTGTACATCCAACACCTAGTTGAGTGAGTGAAGGGAAGGGGGAGGTTCGTCCACTGGAGATGAGGCAGAATAGGCTATCAAAGAGTTACATTACAAGTAAATATTCCTTTTGTGTTAATTTTGGTTCGGGGTGGATTTTTTTATACCTGTGTCTGATATTAGAATTTTCTCTAAAAAATGGGTGTTAGGTTGGTAGTTAATTGAATAGGCCTACACATATGGCTAATTACTTATAAAATAATATAGATCTAGACCATTTCGATTCTAAATCTATTTTGTTATTATTTAATCATTTTCACTATTTGTATAAGCTATCATAAAAATAAAACAGTTAAAACTCGTTTGGCAATAAATTAGAATGCTTCTAAGGCACGCTTGATCAGGGGAAGCTACTACTAAAAAATTGTGTTTAATGTTTATAAAATGGCCACTGTGGGAAAGTTAAACGAAGAAGCGTTAAAAAGAAAAGATCGTTTGAAGGCTTTGCGTGAGAAGTCCTCAACATACAGATCCGAAGAAAACGTAGAAAAAGAAAAACTACCAGGGTATGTATATTGATTGTTATAGATCTAGAAATCTAAATCTCATTGTCAAAAGTACTAAGGCTAGGAATGTTGGGATATTTTTCCTAATTATCATAGAATAGGTACTAGGATAAATTTTTAATATTGTTTTTTTAGGGAAACAACTACTAAAGTTAAAAGGAGCAGAAAATTACAATAACAGAACAGTTTTCCTTTTTGATGTAGCTCAAACGGTTAAATAGTTATGATTTTTTTTCGTATTAAAAAATGTGATTTTTTTAACATAGGATTTTTTCCAATTTCTGTGATAGAGTTTTTTTAAGCGTTTACTAAAATTGTCCTAGCTTGTAAACCATATGGTCAAATTTGTTATAACTTTGCAATGTCTTTATTTATTATATATGGAAGCATAATAAACAATAAAATTAGAAATTTATGGGCAGAGTTAAACAAAAACAGAAGTTGAACATGGTACCCCCCCCTAATTTTTCATATACAGTGCATTCATACAATCTTAGTTAAAATTTTAACTATTCCAAAAATTAAGCTCAAACTTGCTGAGAATGTTGAGCTATGGATGTGTCAGTTATTACAATCAAAATAATATTCATAACTGAAAAGTTTTTTGTTTTAACTGCTACAAAGCTGATAGATTATGCAATTTTGCAACACTGAAGTCTTGTTGATGTGAAATGCAACATGATGGCAAATTTGAGTTATTAAGCACTTAAGTCTCAAAATTTGCCTGGCTCTAGATGACTCTATTCTTAAACAGAAACAATCAAAATATGTGTTTAAATCTATCTGTTTGACAAAAAATAAGGGGTGGAACAGGGTACACCCCCTATTTTTAAATACGAAATTTGTTCATACAATATCAGCTTAGGTCCAAACTATTTGAATCTAAAGCTAAAAACTAACCAGAGTGAAGCTCTGAAATAAGTGTGTTTGATGGTTCTATCTAAATAGTTGACAAATAGGTAAAAGATGGTAAAAAGGTAGAACGCTGAGTCATCGACGCGCCTGACATAATTGAAAAACTGAACTAATATATGAAAATAAAAATGATGGCAAATTAGATCTATTAGAAATGTAAGGTCTTTTATTTGTATAAATGTAATTAACTTGTTAGTCTACTTATATATATAGTTTAATTAAAAAGATGTGTTTCTGTCTGTTCATTAGTATTTTACATTTCAGAAGAAGTTCAACATTGGTTGGTTTTAACATGATATAGAATCTAGAACTAGTTCATATTACTAAACTTTCAATGTACTGCTTCAAAATTTATTTAAGTTATTTTAAAAAATATCACTTAATTTGTCTAAATAAAAGGTGAACACATTTATTGTAATAGTTTTAATTCCTCTTTACATAGTGTTCCCTCATTAGGCCATATAACTGCTCATCATATTGTAGAGATGTGCTGGTTTTAGAAGTGTAGGTTCTATCTGGAAAAGTAAACAGTACATTGTTTGCTTTCACATCAAAATAAATAAAATGGTTTTTCTAGACACTAAAATTAAATATTGAGTATTTATTGCTATTACCGCACCAAACCTCCCCCCCCCCCTCTACTCCACTACCTTCAATATCAAAACAGCGTTTGCCACTATCGCCGGCGGCAAAACAGCGTTTGCCACTATCGCCGGCGGCAAAATATCGTTCGCCACTATCGCCGGCGGCAAAACATCGTTCGCCACTATCGCCGGCGGCAAAACAGCGTTTGCCACTATCGCCGGCGGCAAAATATCGTTCGCCACTATCGCCGGCGGCAAAACAGCGTTCGCCACTATCGCCGGCGGCAAAACATCGTTCGCCACTATCGCCGGCGGAAAAACATCGTTCGCCACTATCGCCGGCGGAAAAACATCGCTCGCCACTATCGCCGGCGGCAAATCGCCACTATCGCCGGCGGCAAAACATCGTTCGCCACTATCGCCGGCGGCAAAACATCGTTCGCCACTATCGCCGGCGGCAAAACATCGTTCGCCACTATCGCCGGCGTCAAAACATCGCTCGCCACATTTTTTTTTCTATTACCTCCCTTGCCACTTTCGCTTTCATATTGTAAACAAACGAATTTTTTTTATAGAGGTAGCAAATCTGTGCAGCATATAACTTTTGTGCGCTATGTCCAAACAACTTGATTTTTTGAAACAATAGAGAAAAGTGGTGTAGAATTCATGTAAAGCAATAAAATTCCTGTTTATTATAAAAATAAACAGTAGGGAGTAAATTAAACTTACCTTATTTTCACTGAAACACTCCATCTTGAATAATCCATGCACAAAATTAAAAAAACAATGAAAACGCAAAATGTCCATTTTTTTATGAAAAATCGATAATCGCACGAAAATTGATCGGGCGATAACACTGAGCGATAAAAATTACGAAACTATAGCACTCGCGTCGCCGCAAATTCTCGGCGTCTGGGTAACGGGGACGAAAAACTCGCCGCGCGGCGCAAAACGAGATGTAATCCTAGTACCTATCATAGAATGATAAAATGTACACAGATTAATCCTATAATATACCCCATTGATAAAAATACCAAATTTATCATTCTAGGCCTAATAGTTTTTTTTATATGAATTTTTAAAGTTATGTATTAAACCTGTTATATATCACTGTAACATCGGATTTAATTGTGTGATTGGCTTTAGGCTTGCATACCACTGCTGCTATTCGAGATATAATTATAAAACTTTGCACATTAGTGCTAGAGAGTGTGGGCAATAGAAATATGAAAGTAAAATCAAAATTTGATGAAGGATAATTAGAACTAATCAAGTCAAATTAAAGTGAGGGGTGCTGTTCTATATAGGTCAATATGCAGACTGAAAGTCTATGTTTTTTTTTAGCGCAATTTCCATTCTGGAGAATTGCGTTTATTAACCCGTCATTTCTGGATGGATGGATGGATGGATGGATGAATGTGTGTCCGCAGCTTTAAGTCGTATCTCCTCCTCAACGAAGCAATATCGATGACTAGTTCCAAAAGCAATTATGTTAAGCCAGTTACGAGGATGAACATAGGCCATAAAAATTCCGGGTTTCTTTCATGGATTTCCCGTAAAAGCCAAAAAACCTCGAACAAATTCAGTTTTTGCTACATATCTAGGCAACCAGACCACTTAGCGACTTGAAACATTTACCAATCGATTCCTGCCATAATTTAAACCAATATTGCCGAAGAAAGTTTTCAAAAATATCCTTTCGTTCGGTCACAAAAAATTAATTAAGAATTTTTAAACTGAGCGTCTTGTAGGTTTTTAGCGCAAAAGCTGAGGATCGAAAGGATTTTAATGAGCGGAGGTTCGAAAGGATTTTTTAAATTTTTCCCCTTTTTTTTCGACTGATACGGGAGGCTACTCTCCCCTTTTTTTTCGACTGATACGGGAGGCTAGTTTCTATTTTGTTTTGAATTATTAAAACTACTTGTGTTGCATTATTTATTTGCTGAATATATGATTTATCTCGATTTAATTTACTTATTAATTCAAACGTTATTTTTGTACCCTATTAATAAGCTGAGGTTCGAAAGGATTTTACCATAGCGAATGAGCGAAGGTTCGAAAGGATTTTTTTAAAAATCTCGTTAATAAATATTTTTTCTATTTTGTTTTGAATTATTAAAACTACTTGTGTTGCATTATTTATTTGCTCAATATATGATTTATCTCGATTTAATTTACTTATTAAATCAAACGTTATTTTTGTACCCTATTAATAAGCTGAGGTTCGATATAAGGAAATTGCGCTAAAATTGTCACTAGACTTTTTAATTAACTTGTTTAAATATTAAAATATTAAAATTGAAACTTTGCTAGAGGGTGGGGGCAATAGAAATATAGAAAAAAATTATATTAAGTATGACTGCATATAATTAAAAAGTCCTATGAAAGGGTGTTGCACCCTTTTATAGTAATTATAGTGACTTCAACTGACGTATGTCCTGAATGTTACTATAATAGATAGGATACATTTTGGTTATTGATACTGAAGCATGTAATAAGAAGAATGCTGAAAAATAAAACTAGGGATTTTGTGTTAAAGCACTCAACTACTAACATGCAAGTCTTAAGCTCAGATCTCAGACGAGTCTGTCTGTGCAGCGTGCAGCATCCACCAAGCTCAGATGAGTACCTGACCCAAGGGAAAGTAAAGATAGCTTGGCAGAGAGCTAACCACACCATCACTTCATGTGCATGGGTCAAGAAACAGATAAACTCTACTTCAGCTGCTTTATGGATGATGGATTGACAGGTCCAAAAGGGAAACTACTTTAATATACTAGGGCCTTTATAAGACCCTATTGATATTTTGGTACAACTAAATTACTAATCAATAGAAAAACCTTAAATTCTTGTAAAAGTTTATTAAGCTAAGTGTTAATTTGTACCAAATCAGAAGTTACAGCTTCCCTGTCTATCTGCTTATATAAATATATATATTGGCAACATGCAGTGATTTAAATCCGTATAGTTTGTTGTTATTTGTTTTTTGTTACTTTTATTATTAAATGTAAAAATTGTATCCTAAATTATTATGAATAATAATTATCATGCCTTTTTCATGTCATTCTAAATTCACTGCCTTAGTAATTAGTACCCCCCCCCCCCATGTCAATTGCTGCACCTTTTGTTAATTATTTAGTAATATTTACTAATGTCATAAGCATAATTATTACAAATAATTAAATAAGTTTATCACCAAGCTTCTTTACTTATCATAACCAATAATAGGCCCAGACTTACTTTATCAATCGATACATATAGTATATAGCATTAGTTATACTAAGAAATAGGCCTATAACTTATTTATAGTATAAAGTATAATAGTATATTAAAGGCTATTTTAGTATTAGTATTAGCCTTAAATCTAAGTAAGTAGGTATGTGTGAAATGCTTAACACTATTTAATGTAAGCCTAAGCTTCTTGCCTGTCGGTTTTAATAGATAACTTGATCAACGTATTTTATCTAGTTTTAACAGTGCCACCCATAATTTAAATTCTTTCCAACTTCGAAAACTACGTCACTGGCATTAGTGCGCGTATTTTATCGATAATAGGTAATGCGGTGCTAAACCGACGCCATGGCGTTGTCAAGGCCGAAGCTCTAGCTCGGGGATTTGACATGTATGATAACTCGTAAGCAGAAGTAGTAAGTGCCATAAAACCGTTATTATAATAATATTTGTTTATTTAATGGACACTTACAACTAATGGCAAGATACTTATAATGTGTTTAATACGTAAACTTATTTAAAATGTGACAACACCGTACGGGACATGTTCGCGAGATAAACTCATTAGAATCGTGCAATCGATTTCGGCTTAAAGATTGTCATAATGGCGGTAATTTTCTAATTGAAACATATAATACGACTACACTAGAATATCTATATCGAATATTTCTAAAAACTCGATTCCAACAGTGAGATTCGGCATTCTTCGGAAAAGGGCGAGTTTTTATAAAGACTGCATCGAAAAGTCCGGATGTTGAATACCGAATCGAAACAGCGGAAGTCGGAATGCCTAACTAAGGCTTAAGTTTTTGACAAAAACTTTTTTTTTTTTTGCCCTAACTCATGATCAGGAGTACCGTACACGAGTACAGAGTGCAGGAAAAAATGTCGTATGACACCTCTATTTACGATTGTAGGGTAAAGATGAGAACTTGCAATGAAGTCTACTATTTAATTATTTAATTTTAGCAGAATTTGCAGTAGTAGATTTAATTTTTATTTTGTTACTAAAATACTAGATTCTAATTCTAGAAATATGTAACTAGAATTTCTAGATCTAGATCTAGCGATCTGGTAATCTATTGTTTTAGGTACGTAGAATCGCCCGTGGCTAAACATGTAAAAGAACGGTGACTCATTGAATTTTAGTAGCCCCTAATTATTTTACATTTTAGTCTTTTTTATTGCTATAAAAGTTACAAAAATGTGTCATTTACCTGTTTTATACTATTTTTAATACAACTTTTCAGTAATAAGTAAAGATTAGCGATGTTTTCATCAGATGCAACCTAGCTTGCTACTTTAATGCATAAGGCTAGAGTTTTTTTAAGAGAAGGAACAAAAATATTTCTGCATTATTGGTCAAAATAAAAGCAATCATTAAAAAAAAAATCAACGAGGCCAACAAAATCAACACATTTACACACGAATAGCATTTCAAGGGAAACCACTCTAATTTACAATTTTAAGGAAGATGGCCGCTGTTTATATAGTAAATTTAGCTCTCAAACTAGACTCAAACACTGCTGTTTAATATTAATGTCTTGACTATATTTATCTATTTTGCGATTGAATGTGGTTTATTATTCAATTATTTATTATATTTGACTAAAAAATCCAAAAATTTACGTGTATTAACTACTATCAAAGCCTCTTTATGAGTCACCTTTGTGGCTTTGTCTGACATGTTTAGCCTCTGCGGATTTTACGTACCTAAAACGATAGATTACCAGAGATCTAAATCTACTAGATCCTAGTCTACTACTAATTTAATTATTTTTACAAAGCTATTTTTTCCAAGCCGAGGTGAAAATAAAAATTTAACTTTTTTAGGCCTATTTAATACTAGAGGAGTTTACACTTTTCGGACACACACCAAAAATTACGTAGGACCGAACACTTCGTCGGTTTTTGGCTCATAGAAACTTTAATTAGCATGTCTCACGCGAAACCACGGCGCCTGCACGTAAACTGTTCATTTATGAACACTTCCGTGTCAAGTACTTCCGTTTCCTTTCTCAAGAATTATTTTTAGAAATTTTTTAACGTTGCATGGTACGCACATTTCTATTTTTACACCAGCCGGATGAAGTGACCTAGGGTTGGACTTAGGGGCAAAACTTGAACCAATCACTGCTTAGCTAAAAGGTTACACTATAAATAGCTTCTATATATGTATGGAACATCGTAAATGTCAAGGTTAATGGGTTTTTTCGTGCTTGAACAATAAAAAAGGGGTGTTCGCTAACTTATTTGGCCTTACATGGGATCGGACAGCAACACAAAAATATTATTAAATAAGAATTTAGAGCATAAAAGGGGCTGGTTATTGAAGGGAAAGGGTCAAAATAAGGTCAAGAAGGCAGTGGAATGCAAAAGAGGAGGGGGAATCATGTGACCTGGCTGGCTTAGCAGCGTACTGCGCGAGCCGCAATGGCTGAATGGGATGAACTTTGGGAGTGTGGGAAAAAGGTTTTATACTATTAAAATTACCTCACAAACAATCAATAACACAATATAAATGCATATAATATATGTTTTTATTCATTAAATTGACTTTAAATTATTCTAAATGAACAAAAAGTGCTATGTCCGATGACGGGTAAAGGTGTCCGAACACATGTAAAACTGTATTACATGTGTTCGAACACACGTTAAGACCCCCCAGTCACTATAACAAGAATAGCTTAAGTTCTATGCGTATGAATACAAAATGACACACACATTATTAAAGTAGAATGGTTGCGGATAGATATGATACTTTTTTTTGTTTTCTATGTTAAGCGGTTACTGAATGAGACCGCATGGAATTTTTACGTTGCGTTTTTTCGCTATGTGTGTCCGAAAAGTGTAAGCTCCTCTAGATCTATCTATTTAATTGTTCTTTTAAAAAAAACTATCGTCGCATATTACAATTAATTTTCCTATAGTGATAAATATGCATTTCAAACATCGTCATGGGCCCTACATGACAGACGGTACACAGATCTAATAGTAATAGGAAAACATTCCAACTTATAGTTATTGAAATTGAATGCAAAATAAATTGGAAGCATAGATCATTGTGGTTTTGCAGACTTTTAAAGTTTAAAGTCATAATAAATTCCTATCATCTCATAGCTAGTTAAAATTTGTCTATTGGTATTTATTGATATCAATAAACAACTTATTTCATTAGCTATTGAGACAACTACTGTACAGCCTCCCCTGTAACTATTGATTAAATCATGTCTAAAAATAAATGTTTTGATGATATTTCACCATGCCTTCAAAAAACAAATTAAATTTTGTTTCATTGAAATTTAAATCTAATATTGGCACACACTCTAGGGCCGTTTGGTTGACTCTAGGCTAGTATTTTAAATTATTACCAAGCTCTCACTTGACAACTTTTATGTTTGGTCTTAATTGTCGAAATCAAATTAAAAAAAAAGTTTCTGTCATAGAAGATAGAACTATCATCTAAAAATAACTTAAATTACTTGAAAAAAAAAATTTTTTGTGATTAATATTTTTAAACTGAATTTTCAAATATTCACTTGAACTTGAACTAAGCAAAAAAAAAATATCAATCATATACTAGGTTTGTTAAATTCCTACATACTATACTAATTAGTTACTTAGTTTTGTTAATCTAAAAGGAAATACTAGATTACTAGTCCCATACTCTACACAAGAGGTAATTTGGTTGATACTTTAGACTGCTGAGTCAATTTTAGTAACTGTTGAAATATTTATTATTAAGTAATATAGGTAAAATTCTGAGTAGTTTCCTTTTTTAAATGCAAGTGTAATCTTTTACTTTCCATTCCTTATTCCAAACCTCATGTCCCAAAAAATTTGACCAACCACATGGAAGGAATGTGACATCATTTATGGACAAACACATAGCATATCATTAGATAAGTTGTTTATTGTTCATGTAATAAATCCTGTGTTAAAACTATTTTTCACCCCTCTGAAGGCCAACATTTAGAAGCTACAAACCTGAAAGCGATTCTCTTCAAGAGCGTACTAAACCTGCAGTAAAGCCAGCAGATGGTATTTATATTATAATATTATTAAGTGTAGAGTTTCATTTTTAACTGGCTTTGCATATAATTAATAATGAGTCAGTTTTAACAAGTCAATACAAAGTATTTTACATTTGATAGTCTATATGGCAGATGTAGTAGAGTTAGCCAGTTTTTGACATCTACTATCTCCTGCTTGAGTCAGGTATTTATCAGAGCTGGGTGGATTTGATGTCATCCTACAAACATGAGCTCATAGATTGAAATTAATCATTAAGTGTTGTGCTACTACTACACCATTCCACAGTGCTCCTTCAAACAGACACAATTTAAACTTTTACTATAATTTCTAAACGTAAAAAAATTCTGACAAATTTAAATTTTACAATTTATTTTTTTGTTTCCAGTCATCACCTCTATTAAAGATGAACTTGAGTCTGGAAAAACTGATCATATTGTGACTGAAGTGGTAATACAAAATGTTGTTTTTGTGGTAGTTTTAATAAATAGAAATTATAAATATATATTTTTAAGTAATGCATGCTGTTAGTTGGCATCTAAAGTATATGTTTAACCCTTTACAGTCTGGGAATAAAAATTATTTACTTCCCCTATGGCCAGATGAAAAGACAATGCCTTTTGCAATTACAGCACTTTTTAAATTTTAAATTATTAAAAAATATTCACATAAGTTAAAAACATAAAACCTGATTTAAAAGTAGAGGTATTTTAATAAGTTTTAATTTCACAAATTATTGTGCCCATAATTTAGAAGGAAAAAAAATCTTAACACTAAAAGTGACACGCTAGTATTAGGACAAGAAAATTATGAATTTTATGGCGATTGACTGTACTGTAATGGATTAAGCGTGTAAAGTTGGAAGTTTGCTTTTAAAGTTGACAAAAGCATCCTGGAAGTAAAGAGCTTTATCATTTACATATAATTTAAATTTCATTAAGGACTTGAGCAATTTGGCCCCGCGAAAACCAGACTGGGACTTGAAACGAGATGTTAGCAAAAAAATTGAAAAACTTGAAAAAAGAACACAAAGAGCTATTGCTGAATTGATAAGTAAGATTTATATAAAAAAATATTTTTTAGTGTCTTCTAACAAATTCTTTTCCTTCCAAGTATTGAATTCACTACTTTATTGTAATTATATTCATTTAGTCCTCATTATATATCAAACCATGATATAAGTCCTCATTTATTCAACTGTACATTATTTCAGGAGAGAGATTGAAAGCAAGTCAAGGTGATTTGGCATCTGTTGTTATGGGTGAAACCATGACAAGATCAGTGGATATTAGTTAAAGTTGGGGGAAAAAACTGTTTTTGTAAATACTTTTTTTTAACTTTGAAGAAAGGAATTTGAAAGCATGTGATCTTTTGTGAAATGAAATTGAGCAATTTTTTGAGCCTGATAATGAGGTGTGCAAGTTTGTATAAGTGTAGTTTTGTGATGTGTATTCATTAAAAGTTCATTTTCTCTATAAAACTAGTCTTTGAGTATTATTCGCATTTATAAATGTATTATTCCTATTGTTTTGCTTAAACTACCTAGGACATCTTTTTTTTTTGTAATCTAACCAAACAATTTTAATATAAATTAACCAAGTTTTAAAATAAATCAAACTCAAGGTGGATATGGTAATAGTCCTATCAAATTTTATTTAGTCAAAAGCTGACCAGTACATTTTAAATAAAACAGGTTTTACAAAAAAATATCACAGTATTCACAGGCAAAAAAACTATCACAGTTATGATTATGTCATAATAATAATGAATAGTGGTAAGAATTCATACTGCCTATTTTGTGATGTACAACTTGTTCTAATTACAATTGGTGAAAAAGAAGTTAAATTATAAAAATTTATAATATAATGTCATTAAAAAAAACTTAGAATTTTAGCTTTTTCTTTTTCCTCTTTTCTTTTTCTCTTGCTTCCTCTTGGGCTAATTTTCTCTCCAGAGCTTCTCTGCGAAGCTGTTCTGAATCCTTAATACGAAATAAATGCATATATACAACAACTCAATCAATCAAATTTTTTTCACTGCTAAATTTTGAATACAAAAAGAAGCTCATAGGCCTATATTTTGTCATTTATTTGTCATTTATTTTTAATGTTACCTTTTTACTCTTTTGTTTTGGTTAGTAGAATTCTTTGCTTGGTATGGTACAGCAATAGTTATTTAGTATTCTTAGAAAAAATTCATCGCAAATGTACCTTTATTGGAGAAGCTTCCACTTTCTTAGGTGATTCTTGGTTAGATTTGATTGGTGAAATATTGTCTACCATTGAAGAAGGAAGTCTGTTAGACCATGACTCTACACTTGGCTCAGTTGGTCCACTTTCCAATGATTCATTGTGTTCAGGCTCTAAACAAATCAAAAACAAATTAAAAGCAGGTGTAGTTGGAGACTTAATTTAAAACTAGTCAACATCCATGGAGGAAAATGTTTACCTATTGCACTACTACAAGCAGAGACTAAAAATATTAAATTCAATACATCAAAAGTTTATTTCTCTAAAAGTTGGTAACTCAGCAGTCAAAATGCTTTTAAGCAAATTTGATTTTTATGGAAACCAAGCAGTCAAACATGAAAAGGAAATGGCAACCATAGTGTGAGGAGAGAAAAAAGGGTTAAAGTAAGTAACAATTGGAAATATGATGAAGCTGACAAGCATATACAAGTCAAATGCTTTATTTAGTATATAGATTATTTAGATAAGTAATAGTCATAAGTGTACCTTTAGAAGGTGAACTAAGCAACCAAGTTCTTTTTGTTATGATTTCCCGGTACAAATCTTGTCCTACAGATGTTAGGCTTTTGCTACCATTAGTGACAACATCATCTTCAAATCCCTGTAATGTATTTTTTATTTAAGGATAGGCACCACGGATAAAAATTTTTTTTTTATTTAACACATTTCTGGATGTTTAATAAGTTCATATAATTATAGTTGTTAAACTATAGACAAAAATAATATATAGCCGTCAATAGCAGTACTGGTTGCCATGGAAACAGCGAAAAGGTGTGAAAACTAACACCTTTTCAAATCGCTAAGGCTTTGTTCCCATAAGAGATTTTAAAAAACGGATGAGAGATTTAGATTTCTCAAACCAAACTATACATTTCTACGTTTACTCATTGCGATAGCTTGTACTCAATTTTTTATACAAATTTTTACGTAAATGTATGTACAAACATTAGGGGGTGGTGTTACAAAAATATCAATATTTCCTTAAGTATTGTAGTAAACTTAATGTACAAACGTAGTTTTGTAGATGGTATAATGCTGAACGCACGTGGAATGTTTTATTCTTGTATGACAAAGGGTTCCAAAGCCTTAGCGATTTGAATGTCGAATTTTTAGTAAAAATGCAAAGTTGAGAAAACGTGAAAAGAAGAGCGGGAAAAGGCGCGGTGCGTTTTCTCTTATAGAAAACAGAAAAAAAACGTCTTGTTATATGTGGAAGAACCATTTGTCTAATAAAATACGCTTTGATTTATGTTGTAAGCTTTAGATAGATCTTTTCTATGTAAGCAGAAAATATGTATACAACAGGTAATGAATGTATGGCTATTAAGTATTACACATCCTATCAATCGAGCGGTATTCTCAGAACAGCTATCATCAAACCAGATAAAGTTTTGTTTGTTAGCCGGTCTTCTCACTTCAAAACAATGTCTTTCTCTACTCAAATTGTAGCTTACACAAGTTTATTGCCTTATGATAATAGCCTACAACACAACACTGGGTACAACGCTTGAGGCTAGACACGCCCCTCCACCCCATCCCACGGCTGGATAGTGCATGAGGAACCGATGAGCCATAGATTACCAATGTTCATTCAACCGCGAATAACACATCTGTGTAGATAGGGTCAAGTACAGGGCCTAAGTGAATGCTTCCCAGCTATTCTATCTACTACTATCTAGTATTTACATTCGTTGCTAGCACACCCTATACGGAGAGATGGGCATACACATTAACACATGTGTCGTATACAGTCCGGTGTAAAGCCTGATGAACGCGTTCAAGCCTATCACAGCATGCCGTAACAAGATTATAAACCGGCCGTTGGTTGAATGGGGAGAAGGGAATGAAGGGGGTAAAGGGGATGGACAGTACATTCTTCAAACTGATAGTCATGTCCATGACGCATTGTTTCAGCTTAGTATAATTTTAAAGCGTACGCAACAGTGTTTAATATTGTTCCAGTGATAATCAACAGTACATTTCTAGGCAAAGTTTCAATTATTAAACTTAATGTTGTTGTATAACTTTAAAACAACAAATAGAAGAGTATACGCAAATGAGGTAAACAAACTAAGACAGGCGATTGTTTTGTTTATCTAGAAACAAGATGGCTGCCTAGCACACGTGGTTAGTTGCAGCCTATCGTGAATTATTTTGATTTACTGTACTATAATATGATTGGTCAAGCGTATCAATGAACTTCTTCCCATTCATAAATTTTACGCGCATGCCCTTATATGGAGTTTAATATAAAATTTTACTTTGTAGAAAACAACTTCTATCCCAATTATTTTTAGAACAAAAGAAAAGGTCACTACACCAGCGGGTACACGAGTGCTTGGCCCTTAGATTGCTGTAAAGTTTATGGTGCCTCGCGGGCAATAAATGATGTAATACCCGCTCGAAGATAGCCGCTGTCCGCGTAGTAGTGTGAAAATTTGCCGGGGGGTACCATGTTTCACATCGCAATAAACGAATAACCGTAAGCTGTAGAAGTCCGAAATGTTCGGGTTAGATAGATAAAAGGTATTAGTATCGAATTAAGAAATAAAAATTTTGGGTAGCAAAATTAACATTTTATCGAAAACATGGGTATCTTGTTCCCTTAATGTTCAAGATACCAAGGAAAAAAGAACTTAAACTGTTAAACATGGTGCATGTGTAATTGTGTTTTGAATTTCATTTGTTTTTATAATGAAAAAGCTTTTAGGCTAACCTTTGATGTGACCATATTGTTTTGAAAAACAAGTTCATCAAAAGGTAATGTTTCCATATATTCTGTTGATAAATTTCAAAATGTGATTTTTTTAAAATTTAATAAAATAGTTTTAATATCCTTGATGCTTATATTATATTTATACACTTTAAGTCTGTAGGCATACCTAAATGTGTAAAGCTTAAGATTTTACATTACATCAAAATTAAGAGTAATTTGACTTTTGGAATGAGGAATTCAGTAATAAAACAGTTGTTTTTTTTTTAAATTGTAAGGCTTAATTTAATAATTTTTTTGTAAATTAAAATCTGTAATATTTACTTCTTGAGACTTTCACACCCTGAGATTTGTAATCAGCAATCTCCTTGTCTTTAGCAGTCAAAAGGTTGAATAGCTCCATTCGCTGTCTAAATAGTTCTCCAGTCATCAACATCAGTGGTACTGTTAAATGATCTCTGCTCTGTGTACATAACAAAATCTTGACAGTTAAAACATAAAGAATAATAAATTATGCTAAAATAATTTCTTTCTAAAAAAAATATTAAGTAAGGTAATTTCTTGCCCAGGTAAAAAAAAATGTATAGAACTTTAAGATGCTCACTTCACTTTTAATCCCACCAGTTGTTGTTTTTTTTTAAGTTATATAATTTACACATTGAGTTTGAAAAAAATTACTTTTAGCAATTTTGTGAGCTTAAGGTGAAAAAAATCATAAGAGTTCATAATAAGAATATATTATGTTTGCTCAAATTTGATTTTAGTTAACACCTATCTAACTAACTGACCATTTCATGATTTGCTAAACTAGCCTCTACACGATAGAGAAAGGGTATGCCAGCCATTTGTGATTTCATTTCCAATATCATTTCACCTCCTTTAATCTCTAGAGTCATTTGAGTACTTTTCTCTGGGTGCAAAATATTTTCCTTTATGTGATTTAATATTTTACCAATTGGAGCTTCTATATGCGGATTCAGCTTCTGCAACAAATTAAAACAATAAAATATTACTTCTACTTTGATGAATTAATGCATTCTTAATGTTATTGCAATTTCAAAAAAAATTTTAATTAAAGAACTTGAAAGAATGGATAGTTAATTAGCGTACATTATTTTTAGCACCAGAACTGATTTTTTAATAGGCTACTTAAAAAAAACAACAATAAATCAATTTACTTACATTGATTCTGCTTTTTAAACTGTCAACAGACAAAGTTTCATGCCAGAAAGTTGTCAAATCAGTGATCAGTAACTCATATGATTCTTCACCAAAAAGACTTTTAATAAGCAAGCAGCTGTCACCTGCAGCGCTTCCTTTTACAGAGTAAGATGATAACTGTTTCCATGGACAGGAGGCTAAGTTTGGCTTCCAGTTCCTTCTCCATTGCAATTCAGAGGCCATTTTGAATGTTTACAGTGGTAGCAACACTGAATTGTATCACCTGCCCTCTTCTTACTTACAGTGTAGTGAAAAATATCAGGTTTATGTAACTGCAAAATATTATAATAACAAATTATAATTGAACTTTATTGATAAATGCATCCGATTAGGGTTTTAGTTACATATAAGTTTAGGTTGTTAATCAGCTGGTTTAGTACTGGCATGAATAGGTAATAATACTTCTGATTTATTTACTAGATCTACACCCAACTAGAACCTGATACCTTTTCATTAAAAATCAATACAAAATCTACTTTCATTATCATATTTCTAATAATTTATCAGTATGAAAAAAGTAAAAATACCACTTCTGATGCACAGAAAAGCAACACTCTACTACTACTACAAATATAAGTGGGAATTTATAAATTTATATATATATTTAGTTCGCAATGTCTGTATGTGGGTTTGTGGCAGATCTTGTAACTCAATTTTGACCCACTTCTAATGCAGCGATTCCATTCAAACTTTCCAAAAAAAGGGGAGATAACGTAATTAAATCACTCAATAGATTACTATATTCAATAACAGAAGGGGAGATAAATAGCTAGACGCGACCACCCTAACAGTCTGGTGAGCTGTTGATCTAGTGAAGGCTATTATGGGCAGATAATAAAGTTTTTAAACTATTTGAAATAAAGTGGAGGTTACAAGATTTCGAACATGCTGTCATCTGAAAATATGGTCACGGATGACTGCTTTCTCTGGCAGATAATCATCTTTCAGAAATCGCTAACTACTGATGGTGTTTTAAAGCAATGTTTTTAGTCTTGTCAACTTTATAAATTAAGAATCACTAAAAAAAAAATAGAAAATAAAACAAATATTAAAAAAATCTTTATAGGAACAAACTTTTAAATGCACTGAAAAAAAGAAAAGAAAATCTGTTTTTTTTTAATAAAAGCTTTGGTTGCTCATGAGATAGTTTACATATTTTAGCAACCAAAGCTTTTATGAAAGAAATCAGGTTAGTTTATTTTCTAATTTTCAGTACACAGCTTGGTTTTTTTATATATTTGGTTTATTTAAAATTCCTTTCTTGATGTGACTAAGTGTACAAGACCAAGTTTTTTCACATTATTTTTACTTTCTTGTATACAGAGAATAGAGTAAGTATTGTAATCGTGCACAAAAATCACATGAAATTTTGAGTTTTCATCGTTTTACACCACAGTACTTCATCATATTCGGAATATAGGGGACTTATTTTAATCTGCAAAAATTATTAACGCAGATTTATCAAAATCTCAGCATTCTATGCGTAATCGAGTCGGAAAACTTGGCTTTTTAATCATGTCTGTATGTGTGTGTGTGTATGTGAGTCTGTATAACTTGAGTACCGTTACAGCTAGGTTGATGAAATTTCATATATAAGTATTGTATCAAATTTGTAGTTCTGTATCAACTTTTCAGCGTTTTCCGATAAACGGAAGTGGATCTTATTCTACTTTCATTTTTTCAAAAGCCTAATACTTGAGTACTGTTACAGATAGATAAATGAAATTTCACATGTAAGTAAAAGATCCAATTCTCTGCCTTCTATCAAATTGTGAGTAATTTCCGTTGACCGGAAGTAAAAATGAATGCTATTTACAATTTCTCAAAAAAGGCATGTGAATAATATTCCGCACTATTATACACAGATTGTTTGGCGTTCACTTGGTGCGCAATTCTTTTTTCTACGAGACTCTATTCTATTTTTAAAAGTTAAAGTAATTAAAAATGGATTTAAAATCATAGTATATCCCGAGTTGCCATCCCCCGTAGTGTTACATAAGAATACTCAAGAAAGTTTAGGGGAGATCACTCCCGGTTTATTTTATTTAAAACCAACTATTCTTACTATTGAATCGATTTTTTTTCATACCAGTTTTCATTAGACACCAGTAGCCTGTAGATATAATAGATCGGTAATCTATCGTTTTGGGTACGTTAAATCGCCTGCAACTTGTAATGTGAAAAACAGGTGACTCCTTAAATTTTAATAATTATTTCACATTTTGAGGAGGATTTATGTTTTTAAAATACAAACATGTTTCCTTGTTAATTCATTTATGTACCTGTTTTTAAACAATTGAATTAAAACTTTTCCGTTATAAATGAAGACTAGCGATGTTTCCAACAGATGCAACCATGCTCATTTACTATAGCAGCCATCTTGATTAAGTTTTATTTTTATAAGCTTATAGCGTGAGATTCATGGGGAAGCCACTCTATTTTACTATGGCTGCTGTTTATATAGCAAATCTTGCTCTCAGACACTTCTGTTTAAAGTTAATTTGTGGCCTATATCGATATATTTAATATTTAGCCATTGATTTAGGTTTATTATTCATTTATCTATAATATTTGACACAAACATATGACAATATACTTCTATTAAAGCCTTGACAATGAGGTAACGTTTTCGTACATTAATAGCCGTGGGCGATTTTACGTACCCAAAACGATAAATTACCAATAGATCTAGATCAGGGGTCTCCAAACTACGGCCCGCGAGGTCCTCTCATCCGGCCCGCGAAGATCTTTTTGTCTACGGAAAAAACGTTTGTTGGTGATAGTTGAGGAACTTTGCCCAGAAAAATCAAAGACATGCCTGGAAGAAACTGGCCCCCGAACTGAACTTTGATTGTCAATGCGGCCCTCGGGCTGAAAAGTTTGGAGACCCCTGATCTAGATCTAGGTATGTACTATGTAGTCGTAGTAAATTAAAAGTATGTACTAAAGAATTAAAGAAAGTAGTACATCCGCCTATCCCTTATTAGTCCACCCAGCTCTGATATGATAAATAAATAAAATTGATACTACTATCTCTAGATGATCTAGATCCACATCTACTGATCTAGACTACTTGTGGATCTAGATCTCGATCTAGATGATCTAGATCTCTAGACTACTTGTACTTGTAGAAAAAAATCCTGAAATTTTACTTTTGTTTTGAAATATTTTCTATTTTGCCAACATAAAACCAGATATTCAGATATTGTAAAATCCGAGTCAAATCTTTAAATTAGGTTACTAAATATTAATAAGCTGGTAAACCAAAAGAATATTAAAACATGATAAGATTTAGAAATCTATATTTTTTAAAAATCTTTTGTCAATAAAACGTGACAAGTTGTGGGATTAATTGACCAATGATTTATTGTATGATAGGCTGCCCTGTTATAAAATTGATCAGTGTCAAATTAAAAAAGGAAAACCTGGATACGATTATTATTGAAGTTGAATTAATCCTTTTTTTAAATTTTTGAGATAGACTTTTCATAATTAAAAAGCACGTAGACCTAATAGTTTTTTTTTTAAAATATGCAAATTAATATTTAAAGAATTTAAGCTCATATCATTATTAAAAATTGTTTAGCTTAATCCAATCGAAGTTTTTTAGGCAAGAGCAGTTCTCTCCCTTAGATAGCTTTATGCAAGTATTGGGCGCTAGGCTTAGATCTAGAACTAGAGTCTAGCTGTTTTAGTCTTTCCTTCCACACAAAATTTCTATTATTTATCTAGATGTGGATATAATTTTTTGTATGCTTTTAGAAATTCACATGTTTATTACATAAAATGCCTTTTGGCATAAAACCAGTGTGTACTTCTTGTAAAATAACACTTTCTCCTATTTGGAGAAAAGGACCGCAGGGTGAAGTGCTATGCAATTCTTGTGGGCTAAAACAACTTAACGGATTTCACAATAACGCTTCTGTTGTCAAGAATGATGTTGGATCTAATGGGCAGGCGAATGGTGGGAACAAGACTAGTATTGGATCATCAGTAAACTCTGGAACAGCTGGGAATGGGCAACCTGCTTTACGCAAAAGCACAAGAATCAAGCCGACCAAAAAATCAGCACTTTCCTCTACTAAAAATTTATCCACGAAAGGAAAAGGACGCAGAATACTATTCAAGAAAAATGTTAGTTTTCAAGCATATTTTTTTTTCATTTGAATTTTAGTATGCTTATTATTTGTCATGCTCTTCGTCTTGCCTTTTTAACTATTAAAACAAACCCACAATATTAGTAATATTAGTTGACCCACTTAGTCTAGGCTAGGATTTGTATAATAATTATTATTTATTATGGCTCGATTATATATGACCATATTTAACATCTGTCGCTCACTGAGTAGTGCAATAGCCTTTCTTCCAGACTGTTAAATAAATCGCCGATGCTAGCCGGAAAAAGATACGCATTCGCAATGGAGAGAAACTACGACTTGCCTGTGTGTTTACAACCGCAGAACACTCACCCAAACCATAGGTCACTGCGCATGCGCAGAACTATCTTTTGCCGACTAGGTGGAGACATTTGGCGAAAAATCTTTTTCCGAGTAGTCACTTCGTAAATAAATTGCACACTATCTTTATCTAGCACTAGTAGCAATAGTTTTCAGTATTTTCCCAAGCTGTATTTTTAAAAATTATAGTATAGTGACATAATTTATATGCAATGAAGTTTATGAAGCTGATGTTTTTATTTTATTATAAAATTACCTCTAACTTCTAAAAAAACATTTACATGGTTTCTATTTACTATTGAAGAAATTGATAAATTGTGATTACATCCACACAAAAATAATGGCAATGATTATGTTTTCCTAATTTAAACGCGATTTGATAGTAAAGAACTGGGTCCATAGAGTGTATTAAGCGTAGCCCAATCTTTACATCTAGCCTAATAATATTATTTTATAATTTAAAAAAGGGCCTATAGGCCTAACTATAACTGCATAACTTTGTAAATAGGCCTATTTGTCATCTATGTTTAAATCTGGATTTTTTTCCAAAGAAGTCATGGGGAAATTAGTAATTTCACTTTCACAATAAATAAAAATGCAGTATGATATCTTTCCTCATATTATTCAGGCTTCATAATTTTGATTTATTTATCCCCCAGCAACCTTTAAAAGCTCCAGCATCAGTTTCCACTGTGGTTACAGGAGAGAGTGTTTTTCATAAGGTATTTATAATATTGCTGTATAAAAATAGTTATTTAAAACTTAATATCTCAGTATGTTTTTATTATTTTATGAATTTATTATGCGACAGAAAAGCAACCCACCTGTTAATATATGTGCTTAAGTGTTCAATTTAAGCATAAGCCATCTAAGCTTGTTTGTCCAAGGCATTTTTTCTTGATTTTTATTACATCCATATAGGCTACATAACAGTTGAAACCGAATACAATTGCTGCTCGTCTATAAAGTTAAATAGTATGGTGTTGTATTTTGGCAAATGGATGCTTAAAAAATGTTTTAGAGATTTAAACACAAAATATACAAAACCTACAGCTTGTGCTGTATGACCTAAAAAACAATTAATGGCTCAGTTTGAGTCATCAGAATTGTGACTGTAGGCCTTCTTTTTAAAAAAAACAATCTTTATACTTATAATGCATGTAGTGTTTATTTCTTTTATACTAAGTTATACATTCTAATGCTAAACCTTTCTCAATAGGATCAATACTATCAAGTAGGAGATGTTGTTTCATTGGTGGACCATGATGGTAGCTTGTATTATGCACAGTTACGAGGATTTTTATCAGATCAGTACAATGAAAAAAGTGCCGTTATAACATGGCTGTTACCAACTACAAATTCACCACAAAACAGATTTGATCCTAATACATATATACTAGGTGAGTATTAATTTAGATTCTTGTGTTATGTTGATTAAATGAGTAACTTATGTTACTATAGTATACTAGCTGCAATAACACAGTTTACAAATTATTTACAAATAGTTTGTATGGCTTTTTAAAGCATAAGTAGTCTAGATCTTGTAAAGGTACATACTTTACAAGAACATTGCCTAATTATTTTTTAAAAATTTGCATTTTAATTTTACTTGCCCCAATTTTATTTACTTTTTTTTTTAATTTGGTAGGACCAGAAGAAGAACTTCCAAGAAAAATGGAGTATATGGAATTTGTTTGCCATGCACCATCAGATTATTTCCGTGCTCGGGATGCACCATATAAGACTGTAAACCCAGAGCCAAAACTTTGTTATATATGGACATCTATCGGCCCTCAGATACAAACAACACCATCTATAGATGAAATTTTTGGTATCAGTGACCCTAGTATTTTAGATGCTAACAGTGGAAGGGGAAAACATGAAAGAGATAAACTAAAAGACACTCCAGGCGTTCGAGAGAAGGATCGGCTAGAAAAACGTGGAATAAAAGTGGAAGTGGATGACTGATTCTAAAATGGATTTTAGCATATATGTACATGTCTACTGCAAATTTTTGTAATACATTTTTTTAAAGATTGATATCTGACAAGGGAGACTGTAAATACTGTCATATACAGACATTTTAATATACCCCACATCTTGAAATATAATTTGGTTTTATTTCTGAACTAACGTTCAAAAGTTCAGGATGACTGACGTTTTCCTGTCAAGTTTATGTGAAGCAATAAGTTTAAAGTATAAGTGATCAGCAACTAAATACATTAGTAGTGACTGAATCAAAACATTATTGAATCATTCTTAGTTAAATTTTCATGTTTTCAGCAGTTATTTGACCATATTGTATGTAGTTCAGGTAAGAATTGTGGTGTTAAATCACACTACAATGATATGTTCTAAAATTGTTGATTTTAAATGCTTTGTTTAACAAAGTTGTACATTCTCTTGAATGGAGCTGGATAAGTGATTAAACTGACATGGTATAAACTCATTTTATTGTAATAGTAATAAACTTTTATCATATTAAAAAAACTGCAACTAAACAACAGTGATACAAGTATTTTATTATGTAACTTTATTATGTGAGTTCCTGTACTGTAAATGTCTAATGATTTGAGTCATGGATTGTACACAGAATTTACACACATAAAAAAATGGAAAAACACGACAGTCCACAGAAAACAACTTCTTTTTCCAGCCATAAAGGATAAAGTTCCAAATGCAGACAGTGCTATTGTCCTGAATAGATGGTTCTTGAATCTGCAAATAAAACATTCTAAGATCTAAATAAAGTTATGTCAAAGGTAACACAGGTTTCTGAAGGTATAGTCCAAACATTTTTTTAAATTTATTTGATCTAGATGTATACAAAAAATGCTGAATTGAAAATTCATACTTTTGTGATACTAGTACTAGTAGTACAAAAATTAAATTTGATTGTAAACCATTTAATTTTATTATTAACGAGCCAACCCGCGGCATATCATACGCCGCTATTTAGTTGTTTTTTCTACTTTTCAGTAATTCATAATTTGTGAATTCGACAGTACCAACGCTGCCACTGAAAATATTTCTTTAAAACACTATAAGTAGCTCGTTAAGGATGATACCCCCCCCCCCCTTCGTTAATGTAAACTCCACTTAGTTACCCCCTCCCCCCTACGTTTAAAATCGTTTCAAACTAAATTATCTGCCCCTAATAGTCGTCACTAAACCCGGCTCTGCTTGTAAACATTTAGCGTGAACCACAGCTCACCAGACAATGTAGGGGTGGGGGTGGTAGGGAGCGCGCTTACAGCTTGTTTTCTAGCGTCTCCCAGAAGAGAATTATATATATAGAATGTTTTTTTGGTTGTTTTTTTATATGCATTTGGACCTTGAAAACTAAAATAAGACTTGGTATTAGTATAAGCCTTTGGTTCTAAGGTCAATTGCAATACTAATTTTTTCAATTTGAATAATCTTACTAGATCTATACTCTGATTCAAAGTAGGCCAAAGAATACATTTTTTTTAAAAATTTAATACTAAATTTGATGGCATTTCACCATACAAAAATTAAAAATAAAATATTACTCTTTGTTCACTGAGAAAGAGACACCAGCTATTTTTATAATGTAGGATACCCGTGTGATTGGTGTGTGTGTTACAATATTTATAATTTTTTAATGCAGGAAACATTCACGAGAGTGTAACAATACATAAAATACAGAGAGATTACAAAGAGGAATTAAACAAATATAAAAAGAAAACTTTGAAATAATAATTCTAAATGCACTTTTAAAAAAAACTTACTTTCTTAAAAGAATTAATTGCTAAAATGTGTAAGCACCTTAAGACCAGCTATAACACTACCAAAAGGGCGCCAAGTGTCACCCCTGGTTTGGTTTAATAGGCCATTGTAGTGACCTTTTGCATCTCTAGTACTAATATTGCTCCATGGTGCATTCCAGGTCACACAAATGCCGTAGGAGGCACCTGCTACCATGCACTAAACTTTTAAACAAAATGAGAGAATTCTAGATCTAGGTAGATTATTTTACAAGGTAATCTATCGTTTTAGGTGCGTAAAATCTACAGAGGCTAGTGTGTGAAAAGTTAAGGCTTTAATAGAAGTATTTTGTGTCAGATATTATAGATAACTGAATAATAAACCAATATATATAGGCAAGAAATTAACTTTAAGCAGCAGTGTTTGCGAGCAGGATTTCTCCTGAATCTCTAACTAGTAACTATAATTTTACCAAAAAAAAACTTTAAAAGAATGGCTGCTAAAGTAAATGAGCTTGGTTGTATCTGGTGAAAAATCGCTGGTCTTTATTTGTTACTGAAAGGTTTTAATACAATTGTTTAAATACAGGTAGATTCTACATTAATGAAACTTTGAAACATTTTTGTAACTTTCAAAGCTTCATAGCATCTTTTTTCTAGGTCTAGATCTAGATCTAGATTCTAGAAGTCTAGTCTAGATCTAGATTTCTACTTCTAGGGATTCTAGATCTAAATTAAACTAAATTTGTCTAAATCCTCCTCAAAATGTGAAATAATTATTAAAATTTAAGGAGTCACTTGTTTTTCACATTAGATCTACTAGTCAATAGATTACCCTATAGTCTAGTCTAGAAGACGATATTAACTCTTAACTATTATTAATAATATAATTAGATCTAGATCTAAATAAATCTTACGAATTTAAATATCCAAACAAGAAATCTGCCAGGTACTCCACAAAAAGTATTGCAGAAAGTTCAAACCTGAGCTCTTCACAAAACATGAGCAGATCATCAAGATTCGTATGCATTTTGTGATCAAATATCACAATAGCTTAAAATTAAAACTTTACATTAATAATGTTCTTGATAAGTTAATAAATTTAATAATATAATATGATAATAATAATATTAATATTAATATACTAATAATATACTAGATCTAGATCTACATAGATCTACATAAATAGTATACGTCGCTGAGAGCTGGCTACATCCGGTCTGACAAAGCATATTCGCGTTTTAGTTTCAAACTCCAAAACTTTCTAGGTGATGACAATTGACAGCGTGCGCGCGTGGGGGGGGGGGGGGGGGGGGGGGAGGGAGAAGGGTTGGAGAGAGAAAGAGGAGGGTGTCCGATTATCTTTCATTGGTGGTCCGGAGAGGGGGGGGGGGAGGCTCAGAAAAAGTGGCGACATAATTTTGAAGTTTAAAAGGTAAAGGGGTCATCACTAAATGACGTCACGCTTTTTTTCACGAATTTACCTCCCCCCTTCCGCTCCGTCACACATCGTCACAAAAAGCCAGCCCCCCCCCCCTAAAATGACGTCACACCTCAGCCTACAACACCCCTCAAAATTGCAATTGATATTTTTTTTTAAATAACATCTCTATTTTTTTTCAAAATCTTGTCTGAACTCTGTCAAAATAGTGTATCTTAATCAATTCCTATTACAATTTATTAAAACTGTTTTCTGAAACGCGAAACAACGTCTAATATTCGTTTTCTAGCATTGCTTTTTTATAATGCAAAAGTGTGACGTCGCACCATCTGAATTCCCCCCCCCCTCTCCCTCATCACACACCGTCACACATTACGGACCCCCCTCCCCCTACGAGTGTGACGTCATTTATGGACGATCCAAAAGATAGAAACTGAAACTTAGACGTAATATCGTTATTTTTTAAGATTTTTATATAAATTGTAATAGTAAATTATTAAAAATAGCCAATCTGTACTATACACACTGAAGATAGAAAGAGCTCAATATATTTTTTTTAAATCGATGGTTTTAAAAAGCTGCAATTTTAAGAGTAGGCTGATGTTTGGCGTCACTTTCAGAGTTTCTTCCAGGCATCTCTTCGGGGGAGCGAAGCCCCTCCCGAAATTTTTTTACCGCCCCCCCCCCCCCGAATGAAATGAAATTTATATAATTTATATAGAAAATATATATATGTATGTCTTTTTGGATGTTGTTGAGTACACTCCAGGGAAGTGTTATGCAATTTAAGAAATTAAATATAGGAGGGGCGCTGCCCCAGCGGTAGTATGGGATAGGCACCCCATGTGCCCCGACTATCCGCCAATTGATCGTCCTGCATGTGGGGTCAGGGGTTATGCTTGATTCAACAGTCAAACTCTCAGGCGCATTGTCCGACGCCCTCGCGTTTGCGTTACCCGTTTAGCATACACTAGAAATACTAAAATCGATGACTAAATCGAACCAACGGTCGCACCCGGCGCCCCTGCGGTAGTGTAGCCTAGAAGCCCCTACACTCTACACTGACGTTTTTAAAAAAAATACACGGCCTTGGAGTGCCTGTGCGGTAGTGTAGACAAACATAAGCCATAAAACTTATGATTCAAGTATAGTGCTAACGTTGTTTACATTTTAAAATGAAATAATTCTGTGCTCGAAATAAAAAAATCACCATCTAAAAATACCGATGGGTAACATTTAAAGTTGTGACAGTTTTGTGTGTAGGACTAGATCACAACAACGTGCGACTGGTCCACTAGTTAAGTCCGCAATAAAAAGAAGATACGTGTATTAAAATGATTTTTAAAATACACAATATGACACCACTATATATATATATATATATATATATATATATATATATATATATATATATATATATATATATATATATATATATATATATATATATATATATATATATATACTAGCTGCATCCCGTGCTCCGCCACGGTAAATCTTTTTAAAATGTACCAACTTTGGAACAGAACAAAACTAAACACAACACAAACGAACGCAAAAAAAAAACACAAACGAAAAAACAAACACAACACTCATTACATAAACACAATTTAAATACAATCATAAAGGCATATTGCTCACAGTCTAGCCCGTAGCGCCAAATCGCACCTTTTCCGGTGATTTGCATCCCCCTCAAACTTTCGATTTGCACCCCTGTCCCCCCCCCCCTTCCCCGCCCTAAAACTTTCGATTTCCACCCCCCCCCCCTCGCATATTTTTTCCAACCCACTTTGGCGCCC